GTTACCATGCAAAAAAGCACATATACTTATTCTCTAATGAAACAATGTAACTATACCACAACTATAATTCAGCGATAAAAGCCCGTACAGGCCCGTACAGGCTTCTAGAACCAAAATACCAAACGGTAAACTAAACAAACGGTAGACAACTACCCTTAATTCAATATTCGCAGGCTTGCGAACATCATTCGGTTCCTACTTCTGTTACAGGCTTTAAAATCAAGATATCAAACGGAAAACTAAACAAACGGTAAACAACCCTTAATTTAATATTCGCAGGCATGCGAAAATCATTCGGTTCCTACTTCTGTTTTGTAGAGCACGACAAAACAAATTTGCTCGACGATTGACAAAACTTGCGTTTTGTTGCTCGGCTCTTAACCTGCGGAGGAGGACATTAGCGAAATACACATACAGCTTTCTATACAGCGTTCATGCAAATGTTACAATTACATTACAGTACGACTTTTCTAGAAAGTTCCCACGTGAATCAGGCTCGATGATGTAGGTTGAAAGGATTATAATTAACTTGAAGTTAAATTCAACATCTGCACAGAACATCCCCCAAGGCATAATTCATAGTTATAAAACAAAAGTAATGAGAAAATGCTATACATATAAAGAATATCTAAGATGCTCCGCACTTTTAACACATCAGGTTCCCATTTATCAACAGACATTCACTGAATAATGGTATAAGTGATAGTAAGAAGGACAAGTGAAACGAATCTTCTCTTTTTAGTAATTTTTGACGCATCAAAAGCCAACAGGAAGAATTTTCTGTATCATCTAATCTCAGTAGATTTCGCCTGTTGTTACCCCCATTGCTTTCGTAATTTTAGACAAAATTTCAAGCCTTCCTTCATTTGATATATCTGTCAAACATACTGTCTTCCCATCATGAGTTTCTTTGCGAAATATACTCAAACTTTGACCACTAATCTTAAATATATTTTGTGAATCATAGACCAAAGTAGATAAAGAGTTTTCAAACAAACACCCTTCTTCCATGACAAATCTATTTGGCCTTTTCCCTAATATTTTCTATCACGTGTGTGGCTGATACAGCGTACGACCGTCAACGTATTCAAAGTCTAGCAAGACAAAGTTTGTACAAGTGTTTGTCTTGGAAAGTTTTCATTGACAATGTTGCTGTCTGCATGCACAGATGAACAAATAAAATGTGGAAATAGGAAACGATGAGAATTCTTACTAAATGACCCAAAGATTGAATCGAAGATGTACTACAAGTTTGTAAAATGCCTTTTAGAAATTACACAAGAATTCACATAAAAGTTGCTAACTTTCAAAATGGCTCTAATCAACTTGCATTGTAAATATTATTTATAGATGCATGCACCACCTACATGCACTGGTGTGTTTTTTTATATTTTGCAACCTTATCATTTAGTGTTACATTACATGACGCTTCAATAGACTCAACAATCCCACAAAGTTATTATACAACAGGAAATACCACTCAAAGCTGGCCTAATGATATATTTACGGAGTGATTTCTTAAAATTAGATTCGCCATGAAAAGGAACAAAAAATTCATGATTTATGACTTAAACTCTTCCTACTGTAAAAGTAGTAAGCGTAATTACACCCAAACGATTACAGCAACAATATAATCAATAGCATAAATGTATAGAAATACTAAACAAAGACATCTATAAAGATAGTGTAAATATTTTTGCTATATAGTCTGTTGCAATACATTAGCACCTGTGCCAACTGATAAAATAAGGGTTTTAATACAGTAAGAACGCATATGCTAAATTTATCTTATCCTTGTTGAAGGCAGACAATATAATTTAGTCTGCTAACGTGCATTGATCTTCCCTAAAGGCATTTTGCCAGTACTGTTGTATTGCACAATGCCAATAATGGTCACAGGTGTACATCCAAAAGGCAACACCAGTTCCTAATACAGTTCACCAAAAATGCATCATGATTCAGGAAAGTGGTATGGTCACTTTTTTTGGATGTATCAGAAATGAGTTATCCTTGTACGGGCAAAAGATAAATCAACAAACACTTTGTCATGCACTGTACATGTTAAAATCAACAGGGTATATTCTCAGAATACATTTTAGTTGTAGAATCAGGTGACTAAATGACATTAACACCACCCTTTATTGTTGATAGGTGGTATGGATTTAAATGACTGCTTCACCTAAGGGCCCTAATTTTAAAATTAAGCATCACATGAAATGACATGTCCACATTTACAAGAAACAAACTTTTTTTCATGCATAACTTTCTTTCTTGGCTTAAATTTGTCTGCCTTCCACTGTATAGGGTTTCTCTTGGGCAGACAGATAACACAAATACAGCAGTAGTAGTTATATTTCTCCATTCCCAAATTGGGGAGTTTTGAAGTTTTTGAAATATTAGAGACAAATTTAATGTCTATATTTAGAAAAATACACATGGAATCAAAGGTCCAGAAATTTCTATCGTTGAGAATCTTGGTTTTACTGCATCTAATAATTGTATACAGATTTGAACAAGCTATTTTTGGGGTGAGATAATAACATTTCCTTTCAACACAGCTGTGGATAGCAAAAATAAATATTCTGAGAAAAAAATACTCAGATTAGTTTTCTTATACAATAGAATTAAGCCTTTACCAAACAACTGCACAGTAAACAATTAAAATTAGATCTAGGCATAACAAAGGATTTGAAGTTGGTTTTAAAAAGCATATATGCATGTTTCCTACATACTGGGAAAAATACTGAAAGTTTTTAATTTTCCAAAGAGAAATTCAATGCTACCTATAGTAATGTTTCAACCAGAAAGAATTCTCAGAAATTGGAAGAGACTAAAACAGTTTTATGTTATATTCTTTTCTCTGGTCCCTGATGGATATTTTATTTCATATTGTGTAATTTAAGAATATAATTGGTAATAAGTATTTCCTCCATCAATACATTGTTGTACTGCCACAGTTTGAAAACAATATTTCCCAAATTAATTTTGACATCTGAAACTTAGGCCAAAATAGCTTAGCAGTAGCCACCGAGCACCGTAGAAAAACTATCAAGAGTGGCATGCTTTTTGCAGTCGAATATCTTAAGAAATTTGGAAGAGTTGAAACTTAATGATTACCCTCAAATGCCAAACTACTAAACCAGCTAGTGTTACAATTCAGCACTCCAGAGCATAGAGTAAGAAACTAGTGCACAAAAGCTGCAGCTTGTGAAGTTCAAAAGATCATGATACATGGAAATGACAAACATTTTTGTAAGCTGTATTTTGTTACTCTATTAGTAACCTTTGCTTCTGCAGCCAACCTGACATTAACTTTACTGAACACATTGTATATGTTTCAGCATTAAAAGTTCTCAACAAACTTTCAAAACAAACTTTGGAAGGGAATAGCTTAGCAAAAATTATGTGCTGTGTAAAACTATCTGTGCCAAGTCACTGAAATTTTATGGCAATGTTGTTATTTTCCTGAAATAGTATGCATTAATCATCTACCAACTTCTTAGCAACTACTTTATTGACATCAATTGACTTTATTATACGGATATCCCTGTGTAGGGCTGCCACAAGAAAGTCAAGAAATCAGTTTTTGCAAAATAAATCCAAAGAGCTTTATTTCCTAGAATGATTCATAAATACGTGCATTTGAAGTTAATACATCGCCTACGCTGGCAACAGAATTTGGTACAGTGGAAGAATACAACGGCCATAATGCTTTTCATGTACCTTAACATCTACTCATTAAACTACCCACAACGGTTAGGTATACATATAGCATCTATCTGTATAAGCAGATTCACAATAGCATGAACCCAAATTATGATAGCATAAAGCACTTTAACAGAATGTTTAACAGGCAAAACTGGAATTGTCAACAATTTCATATATGTGCATAATGTAGGTTATGTGTAAAATGAAAAAGGGCTGCATTTATGAATAAACTTCCTATAGGTTAAATACATGACCAGACCACAGCCTAAATTCTCCATGTGTCCACACAAGATGACTAAAATATGCTCATCCTTTTGGCCCCAGGCAAAAGCTGAAGTACCAGAGCAGTAGACCATGCGAGCAACTTGTTGAAACAGTTTTGCATTTCCCCCTTTGCTAAGCAATTAAGGTCTCAAAATAGCAACAGCAAAGCCAGCATAATAATGAAACATAATCAAAATATCTCAGGCTGGGAAAGCCAGCTTAGCATTTAAACGGGCAACAGCTCGTAGATACAGTTCAAAAATCATCTCCTGGTTTTCTCCAAGAGGCACAAAACGACGAGATATAATGCGTGCTCATATTATACAGCATACACAAATTTCACAGGCTGCCCTCTAGCATAAATATAAAATACAATGGGTGAAACTAAGGAAAGCCCCTCTACTGGTTTAGGCAGGAAAGACTCGAACGTTTAGCATGACCACGACTCACTCGTTTGACACAAACTTTCCTAGCAACGTGCATGCAACGAATTGTCGAATCCCCAGCTTTAAAACTAATAAAGAGCCATAATTTATGGCTAAAATATAATAAAATAGCGACCGGCTTTGTAATGTTCTAGCATAAAAACAGTGCAATCTAGTCAGTCAGACAGGAAGAAGCTAGAGACATAGCCTGCCTCGGTAATCTATAACGAGGCCAAAATAACAACAAGCGTTTCAAGCTTGCTCGAAATGTTTCAAAAACAACGCTGTCTTTATTCGGCATTTATGACTTTCGTTCAGCCTGCTATTTAAGTAGCAAATATGGCATACATGCAAGCATTTGTCAAATTGTAAACATCGTAGATTTTACAGTCCGTCAGAAGCCAGCACTGCTTTATTACGGGCCAGAAATCTCGCCAAGAATATGCTTCTGTATTGTGTTTGTTTTGAAGCGATTCCAGAAGGCATTTCTGGGCGAGCGAACAGCGAAGGCCCGAGTGAAATTGCGACTAATGTCGGGCCGCTGTTCGGCTGGCTATTCTATACCGAATGTTTTCAAATGATAAATATATAAAATTTACTTACTACTGTGCACAATCTATGAGTTGGTATTCGTTGGATCGTTCAAAGCACTCTTGAACCCCGCTATCCTTCCATAAAATGATCGTACCATCGAAAAAATCCTACAAAACACAAGCGATTTGTTCGCGAACGCTTAATTGAAACATCGAAGACAAAAGGTTCTTCCTTGGAAGCAGCCGTGTCGCTATGGTCTACAAGCCAACTCGAGGGCCACAAATCTTGCTGCGATTGGCTCAATATTTGCCGCTTTACAGCGCCGATTCGTGCTAGATTTTAGCCCAAAAAGCAAGCTCGTACACCAGAGACGTATATTTTGTATAAATCACGGCTGTTTGGTAGTGAAAGACACAAAAATATAACATTTTTCGCTCACCGGTGGGTAATCAAAATCGGGTGCTGTGGCCACTTCGTGTATGTAGTCAATTCGACTTTGATTATTCGGATCTCCTATCTTGACCGGCGGCGTTAGGGTGCTCATAGCCCCTGTAATCGTCTAGAAATGCAACAATCGTTTTTTAGCTGTCACAAAGGGCAAGGCAAACGACTTAAATGCATCGACATCGCTTGCCTGCCGCTTTGCAAAACTCGTATAAATAGGACACTAATTTGAATTCATACGCACCAATATTGCATCGCGTATATTTCGCTTGATATCTTCAACTTTCTGCTTCTTTTCGCTAAATTATAAGAACATACATCTCGTGTAAGATTTAAGTAAACAGATCGAGCTACAGGGCCCGTGAAGGGGCAAAATTTCGCCATTATAATCGGCCGATAGCTCGGCAGAGCCGTGTAAAGTCGAGAAGGAAAGCGGCGACTTACAGATCATCGAAGCCATTGACGTGAAGAATTCTCATCTGTTTTACAATTGTACTCTTGCCCGATTCGCCAGCACCTTAACGAGAAGAAAGAACACATATAAATTTCGATCGATAGTCCAAGCCATTGCCAACTTGTAAGGTCAATAAAACAACAAGGAATGATGTTTAATATGTTACCAAGCAAAAGGAGTCGATGTGTGGCACGAAATGTTAATTTATCCTTTTTCAACTGTTTTTCGATTTCCTTGCTATTATGTTTCTGTCGTTTATGCTCTTCCCTTTCTTGCTCTGTATGTCCTGGCCCAAAACACCCCATCGCACTAAAAGTGCGAGCAGCAAAAACGGAGAACGCCCCCGTCGTAGTTTTGAGTAAAAACTTTGTGTTGAGGCTAGTTGAAGCTCGCAAGCAGTCAGTCGCTGTGAGCTGAGCCGTTCGCCGAATATAGGGTGTGGTCTGCGCATGTGCCGTTGGCCTGATTGTATGCAGCCAATATATAGAACAAAATTAGAGCGACAAACATCGCTCGATTTCCTTGTGCAATATACGAAATTTCGGCCGTCGTTCGTCGCTGGAACACTCGGAAAACGTTCTCGTATACTCCTTGTTTAGTGTAATATCGTTAGCGATCAAATATAGCCGGTTTTGTCGCTTCTCAAGCGGCTTAAATCGCGACCGGTTTACCTAGACTGAACCGCTTTGCATATCAGAGAAAAGTATCACACAACAGCGCATGCCAACTGCTGTTTCTATTTTTAGCCAGCCATGGCTATTTTAAGCTCTTGTTAAAACAATAATGACACAAATGTGATAGGATGAGTCGGCTTTAAGCCTGCAGTACATTTTGAGCTTAGAATAGCAAATATAATACAGTTTACGGCTGATATTTAGCAACAGTAAATGTTCTTCAGAAACATTGCAATCGAAGCAGCAGTCAATTTCATGTGCGTTGAATTTGAAGTTTGGGCAGCTTAGCAAACTTTACCAGTTTGGCGGCTTATAACGTACAAGTTGTCATGCCATGCAGTGTTGAGCCGAAATCCCAAAGCCTGTTCGCTCTGGAGCTTCGTTTGTGCAGTGGCAGAGGAGTTATGCCATTTGTAATTGTTTTCATGCGACAAGCAGCGCAACAAAGAATTCTGGAACAACTTACAGCAGTCATGAATTCAACGTGAACTATTCCAAGAATTTTCGAAAACTATTTCGAACATTTTCATTGCATGGCTGCTGAACATTGTTGATGAATTGCCTGAGCTAGTTGTCTGACCGTTTCACCGAAAATTCTCAGCATTGTCCTCGATAAAGCATGTTTGAATTTAAATTTGCATGCTTAAGGGAACACAATTTAAGATGCCACTCAAACATGGCAAATAAGAACCGTTTGGGAAAGGGAGCAGGAATTCCCTATTTGGAACAAAGTCGGCCGATTTCGTTCAACATGCAATGAAAAGCCGGCAGTTCCACACTGAGTACAGCTCAAGTGCAGCGCTGCGAACAAGATCTTTGGTTGATAACTTGAAAGCATTTCTCAGTTGCTAGGCAACAGCACTTTGCAATTCTTAGACTTTAGCTGCACAAAAAAAGCTCTGAATTTAAACATCGAGGACACTTGCGGCTCTCCTTTTTTTAACACAATACAGCAGCGCAACATGGCAGAAATTTTATGTGCACTCTCCAAACAGGGAGATGAGAAAATAAACTAAAACGCACTTGCATCTGTTCGATACCGTTAAATATAATGCTTCGCCTTCTGCACATTTTAAAATTATATTCAAAAAACACCTGGTGGCTTCGTCCAGACATTGTTCATCTCGATTCTGATAGGCTCGTCACTTTACTTCCTCAATTCCATGATGGACAGTGCACGCGTGACACTCCCGCATTTGTGTACGCAAAAATATCGTTCACACAACTAAGCCCTGGTCTTGATCTAACTGTTTATCACTCGCGGCGTTCAGATGAGACAGGAAATTTCACGAAGATACCTCTTCAAAGAAAGCAAGCGATCCGCCCAAGGATTGTTTATCATAGACGTAGTCATACAGTCTGCAAACTGCATGCATCGTTTAGTAATCTGGTTTCACTTGGCAAACATGCTTGATCTTTTATAATGCATACATACAGTATACACACAGTGTCGTGAGAGAGTGTTGGTGGGAATATCCTCACGGGGCGACAATGATCGCAATATTTACTTTTGAGGAAAGTTTGCAATTAAGTAACTAGGTAATGTAACGGGACTGGCACTTCGCGCGCATTTGCATGAAGTTGAGAATGCTCAATATCGGTCGATATTTTCGACCGTCATCCCCGGCGGATTGGAAAAGTATAATTTCCGTAAAAAGGTCCTGGAGAGATTTATCGCATTCTGCAAAGAGCGAGGGATGAACAAGGTCAAGGAGCAAGGAGAAAAGTCGGCGACAAGAAGACCAAGAACGGCGACAAGAACGGCGACTTGAAATTGAAATCACTGAGACTTGCCCTCGGACTTGACGGCATCAAACCGAACGCTTTCCGGCGCATTTTCGTTTTTCCTAAACTTTCCCGATGACTTTACTGCTCAAGCAAAGGGTTTGAGACAATTACAATTTTCAATTACGAACCCAGTGTGCCGTACGATTTCAATAAACAGTGCATTGCTAAAAAAACCCCGTTTAGTTGAAAGCTGTTATACGCGTGTACAAAATTAATATTTCTCAACCGAACGTCCTTGTAACTATGCCAATCATTTGTTTAATATACACAAACCGAAATTTTATATTTAATATTTAAACACACTCACTCAGCCTTCAGAACAAATTCAATAAGCCTTTGTTTACATCACATCTATTAATATACAAGTGATTCTATATTTAGATATAATTCTATTTATATCTCGTGGCGTGGTCGCGTGTGCAGATACACGCACGCGATTGAACCACAAATGAATTGAACACAATTTTTTTTTAAATCAGTGACGGAATAATAATAGTAATCTTTGAGCTGTATATAACGTCTGGACTGAAGCACAAATGTGCTAAAAGAAATGAGCATCTGATATCTATAATCAACTGGAATAATTTTGTTGAATGCTGAGTCAAACATTGAGCGCTCTGCATTCAGCGTGAATAGATGAGGGTGATATTGCTCCAGGTGAAATGGAGTATTTCCAAGCTTCTTATATATATATATATTGTACTGTGCATCCGGACCCATTCTTACTGCAAAACGTACGTGTATTTTTCTCACTTTCAAAGTCATTAGTTTTGGCTGGGTACCTAAGTAAAGGTCTGTTCACACGATCCAATCTTGTTGGATTCAATTCACCTCTGATGGATGTGTTGCAGTCTGTTGCATTGATATGGGCAGTGAATAAAAAAAGCCAGTGCATTACTGCTTGATCACTAACAGACTACATTCCATACGTCAGAAGTGAATTGGATCATGTGAAAAGACCTTAATGGTAATTGTGATAAACTCTGTGTGTTGCTTTTCATTATAAAATGGATCAGGAAGAAAACTGGTGTTGGATCATGCACGTGGCTTGGCATTGCAATTATCGAGGTTCATAATTCTCTACAAGCGTTCAGTAAGTTAAAATAACCCCCAAATCAGTGGCGTACGAGACACGATATTTGGGCGGCACATATTCATATATTCATGTTGCTCAAGATTAATTTCTTTTCAAATCGATTGTCTTTATAGGTCTGTTAATACGAATATGTGAATATTTGCCCCCCCCCCCCAATTATCGTGTCTCGTACGCTACTGTCCCAAACGACGAACATATCGGCCAGTCCTTTATGAACCACTTTAACCAGAGCCTTACTCGAACCAAAAGAGTAAATGTTTGTAAAAGTAGATTTGAAATTTTGAAAATAAGGTTGAAAAATGGAAAGAAAATAAACTTGAACAAAATCAATGCTGAGGAGAAGATAAGAAGAATTTTTCTTGAAAAAGATTTCACTTAGCATCAACTTTGTTGAAAACTTGATACATTGGGCAATAAGCAAATGATGACGTCATAGCGTGATAAAATTACGTGTGTCATTGCTTAGGACCCAAAATTGTATTTAAATATTCACCTGCATGGCTGATGAATGAAACCTTTTCTGTAAACAAAATAATAGAATTTCTCGAAAGATTTAGGCACAGAAGACTTGAAAATTGGTTCAAACTTTCCGCTAGGATCAATTGTATATAGACCTTTCTAAAAGGTCTGAGTTATGGCGAAGTTTGCGGACAAAGTATGCTTCTGATTGGTCCTGATTTTGGTCGACTGGCACGTGTGGTGTTAATTAATTCATTCACTGAACCGAGTTTTTTTATTTCTATATACAATGGTAGCGAACTACTTAGTCGATGTGGCGAAAACTCGTTGTGTCTATAAATTAGGCTTTGTAGTCCCTAGTTTGTCCAGGATTATTGATTGATCATTAATGCATAATTTTTATGACATTGCTTATTAAATTACTACAATTATTTTAGTTATCAGTGCATTTCGTAGCTTCTGCCGTCAAAATATAGGTATATAGTTGTCAATCTTTGCCTTATTCCTCTGCGCAATACACTCAGCAATCCATATTATATTCCGACTCTCCTGTTCTTTCAGCTTAACAAACGCATAAAAGACACCAAAATGAAACTGCCGTTCGAACGCAAGGGTGTTGAGCTTTACCTCGTGCTCGAAGAACCTATCTTCGAGGGTCTTTTCACCGGGGTTAGTACCAGCTCCGTCGAACAATCTCCGGTAGTCCTGTGCAAATGAAAGTACAATGTAAAAACAGTAAACCATATAAAAACTGTAAAGCTGTTAACAAGAGTTATCTTCATTGCAAGTAGCAGTGGGAAACTGATAACTTTCCGACCCTCGGCTTGGAATAAGAGTCCCGTTTACTGTTTACACCACATTCAATTCATTGGCACGGCACGGCTAAAATGGGTACCCGTGCCCAATTTTATTAGTGCTCAGGCTACCAAAACAAAGGCCGAGCACGGATGAAATGGGCACGCGGGTAACCATTTTATCCGTGCCGACCCAATACATCTAGTGTAGTGAAGAATGCCTCCCGAAACAGCATGCATGACTTACCGCGTAATAATCAGCGACTGCCTTCACTTGGTCATATTCATCGGCATTTGCAAGGACCGCCAAACCTTCGGGATTCAGTTTACCACACGTTGGAAATAGTTTAACCCGATCATCTTTACTGAGTTCTGTACCAAACGAATTGATGGTGATCATGAATGCTCGCCTGTCTGCTTCGAACTACAAATTATAAAAGAAAATTTTTGTCAAAAAAAAAACAAGACCACGCATCAAACTAATTAGTCTTTCTCTGCACGATGGAAAATACGCCATTTTGGGGTAGAGGTTTTCAAAATCACGCGCGTAAGATCTCGTAACGGCAGTTGTTTTAATTTTAGACAAAATTTATTTTGCATATACATGGTCTTTTGATTCTTAAAAATTGCTTTAAATATCGTTAAAACCAGTTCCAGACGTACCTCAAAATGGCGAATATTCGTCATCGTAAAGAAGACCGATTTAATTTAGCAACCGTTCCCAAAATACGTGACGCTCTGAGGTGGGGGTGTTTGAGAGGGTGTCACGGGGAGTAAAGGGGTTTATATAATAACTACAATGAAACACGCAATTTTATTGGTTCGTAGGCGTGCAGTATGAGACAATCCTGCACGGAAAGTTTACAATGCCGCTTTGCGCGGGAAATTGGACCGTCGTTTCATTGTAGTCATTTTATAAAGAAAATACTAAATAGTTTTCCATGCAGGATTGCGTGATACTGCACTTTGAAAATTGCTCGACTTTCGTCCTTTTTCACGCTTTCCGAAAGTCTCGCAACTTCCCGCGTGCATGCAGTATCACGCAACCCTGCACGGAAAACCATTTAGTATTCCTTTAGTCACTAATGACAATATGTTGCCGGATGACAAAGTTGCAAAAAAATAGTTTTGAAAACACAAATTGGCCAAGCTCAGTAGAAAACGACGAAGAATGTTTGCCGCAACGTTTTCCATCTTTTAAAAATCAAACACATTGCGGTATGATTTTGCTTACGCTTCGGGCAGAAAAATTAGTCTTGTGGAAATACGAGCGTTACGATTATTTGATATCAGTGAATCGGATATACATGAATCATCTAATATTTTGTGCGTGGAGGAGGAACCGATGAATTTATTATGCAGTGTACTATTAGATCAGTGGTGGGAGGGGAATTGGGAGGGGGTATATGTTGTTTAGCGTCACGTAACTTTCTAGGAGGTAAATTCAAAAAGGTTAAAATTACCCTAAAAGGTATTAGTTCTGAAGTCAAACTCAAAGTATATTTTTAATCGTCAAACAACGTCACGGAGAGGGAGGTGGGCGTTAAAAAGGCTAAAAAGGGAAAAGAGCGTCACGTATTTTTTGGAACGGTCCTATATTGTAGACAAGCTATAAAATATACAGTCACGCATTTCTGTCTGAAAAAACATTTTCCTTGACTGCTTGTCATCCATGTTTATGACCACAATAAAGTCAATATGAATGATGTTTATCAATGACAATACTTAGCATAAGAGGTGTGTTTTTAAAAAGTCTACGTTTCTTGGAAACTGTTTCTATGCAGTAATTTTCGCTTTTTTAATTTGCAAAATCTAATTCTAATCTAGATTTCGTATTCACTCAAACATTATAACAACCCCCTGTCATGCCTTGGCCTCAAGTGGCCTTATATCGCCACCATGAAAGCCGGCTAATAATGGTTTGAAGTAAAGTGATTTACAGAAGATACTAGAAACGGAAGGTAGAAAAGATCAAATGAAAACGCCCTGTTATTATTGTGCAATTTTAGAACACAAATGATTTTCATTTTTTTCCTTTGCGAACAAATGCTATAAAATATTGGGCCTTTACTAGGCTTTAGGCTTTAGCAGTTTAAGCCATACAGGCGCACATGCACGACGCAATTTTTGTCGTACGATTTTAGTCGGCCGATTTTAATTTTTAATTCGCAAATATCAAACTGTTTTGATATATTCCGATTGCAGTCTGCCGACTAAAATCGCTTAAAAGTTAAAAATGACGTCGTACACGCAAGGATCGACGTAGAACAACGTAATTATTACATGGTCATGGACTTTAGTGAAGCATAAAGAGTTCCTAAAAAGGCCTACTGCAAAAGAGACCGGACTGGCGTGTGAACATTTAAAAAATAGCGGCTAAAAAACAGAGAAAAGCTAAACTAACTAAAGAGCAAACCAAAATGACAGAACACTATTCGAAATTCTGGCGACAAAACGTCTGGTCAAACGAGACAGATAAATGCATGGCTTCCACTAATTAAACAACAAAGGATTCCCGCTATCGGATGGGCTGAATTATTCTTACCGTTTTTGTTCTCGCTCAAGCAAGAAACATGAAACTGAAGGCTTTGCTCCACTAATTAAACAACAAAGGATTCCCACTATCGGATGGGTTGAATTATTTTTATCGTTTTTGATCTCGCTCAAGCAAGAAACATGAAACTGAAAGGCTTTGGTGACTTTTGGTGCGGCGGTAAAGTTTTGATTTTGTCTACAATTAAACTACACGTGCAGTGCTATGTACTTATTCACACACAAGAACGAGGACGAAGAATCCGTTTTTCTCGCGCGATAGATACGATCGTACAAATATTGTCAGTGCAAGTCAGTGCTGGTAAGTGTTAATTCACACTACAATCTTCCGTTCTTAGTTTTTGTGCAAAGTTCATGGAAGAAGTGAAAAATCATTTAAAAACTAATTTCGAAATAAACACGTGAACGCAATGGACCCTATTAAAATACTGAACTAGGAAAATTCGTCGGTTCTGAGGTATACAGCTGGAAAGAGCATCCTAAAATTAGTAAAATGGGAAAGTTTGGTGGCGAAATATTGTAGAATGTGAAAAATATCAGCATGCGAAGTTGGCAAATTTTGTATAAATTCGAGAATTGGTAACGTTTGGTAAACTTAATACTAATTTATAAAAAATTTGGGTCAACATTTCGCAACCAAACTTTCCCTTTTTATTAATTTTGGCATGCTCTCTCCAGCTTTATACCTCAGAACCGACAAATTTTCCTAGTTCAGGATTTACTTTAATACGGGAATGGTCCATTTGCATCGCATTTTAATAAAGGAAAGACCTGTAATATTTTACCTGTAAGATTGGGCACATCACTTCCGCTGTCACGCCACCGAGGTCCTCACAAAATTTGTAGAAATTTCCGAGGTATGCCTAAAATATTTAAAGAAAAAATAAGCAAAAAGGCTATATATAGGATATCAAAAAGTTTTGAGCTTAGTTCACAGGAAATAACATGGAACTAAAAGAATGCGTATGACCTTGTATAATGTATTACGAATAATCTCTATGTTCATTTCATCCAAATCTTGCTCGGATATGCACTTCACAAAGAATGGTGCTAGAAATATGAGATGAAATATGAAAAAAGATTAACTAGGTCTGCCTTTGGCTAAATTTTGGGGTATACATATGTATTGCAGTAATCTATATATAGTGAGGTTATTGTGTAATGGTAAAGTGCCATTTAAAACCTTTTTTCAAAGGTTTTTTCACATTGTTTTATTTTTGCATTATATTATTTTCATTTTTTCACAAACTCTTTTAAAAGTCAGCGCAAAGGAGGAAATATTGTTGAGAAAACATTTGCTCTCTTTTCCTTAAATATTCTCTGTTTAATTTGTCTACCTGTCAGGAAACTCCAGCCCAAATTTTTTTCAGACTTTGGAAGTAAAAATTCCCCAGCAAATTTTAAAAGATTTCATATATGAGCAATTTATGTTGTCAAACATGGGTCTGTGTTTATTGATGTTCTTGATCATTCATGATTCACTTTTTACATTATAAACTATAACCTATTTATTATAGGTACTAGCTTTAATTTACTCCAGTATGGATTGTTTCTACCAGGACATAAAATAAGGCAGAAAAATATCAATAGATTTTTGTGAAGCAACATCTTATAACCACTCTGTTCCCACTGATGTTTCCCTAGTGATTGCAAACTGTCACCAATTACATACCGGTACACCCTTCTAACTTACCTAGTGGTGTATCAACTAAAACAGCATTGTAAAGCTCAACTGGGGTTGACGCAATATTGATTGAGGCCATTTCCTCAAAACTTCCAAGTGGATGACATTTTGGAATTAGTTCTGTAATAGTTCTTTCGTGAAGTGTGCCAGTTATCAGTAAAATTATGTTGTCTATCATATAACTGTACCTATGGAAAACAAAAATGACAAATTTCATGGACTATGTATACCCTAAAAAAGATCGGGAATTAGGGCTGCTTTCCACTGTCGCATTTTTCGCAAGTATGTACGTACACTGTGCACGCACATAAAAGCCTAAAACCTTCTAAGTTGTTATATAATTAATTTTATGCCAGAATAAAAAATACCAAATCATTGAGTCCAACCCTACATGCATCTATTCAATTGTAGATTTTATAAGTATCATTCAAATGATTTTAAACTTTTACGTGCATGTATGTATGTGCAAAAAAGTGACAGTGGAAAACTGCCGCAAGAGCCTAGTGCCTTGATCCTCCTCCTATTGCTTTAAACTGTTTACGTCTGTCTTAGTTAAACCAGCTGGAATAACCTAGCAGGTACCGTAGTGGTAAATAAAGACTGGCTATAAAATGTGATGTAACTATGGTCGATGGATAGGCCAAATGTTCATCATCATTAACAGCCAACTGCATGTAATTCAGAAGTGAAAGTTTTAGATAATTTTCACAATTTTCACACTCAAATGTGCTAAACTATGTTTGAAATGGGTTTATAATGAGTCATGAAGTCAACTGTAATAACATAGCTTCAATGATACATACGTAACATAATCCATAAACGTTGCCAGTGGTTCAACAGCTTGATTCCTTAAATGTCGAAATTCTGCAACCATCTTTTCTCTGAGTCTATCGTCAATCACAGAGACAGAAAGAGGACCAGCCTCATTTTGAAGAAAACTACCATAATCTGTACTCTGTAGGTGGAGTTTTAGGTCTAGAAAAGAATAATATCTATAACCAGGGGTGCTTACAATATACCTTTGATCTGTATTGTGAAGTCTGTGTGTCATGAAGTCTGTGAAGTGTCTAGTAGACCAGTAAACATTGTGATTTGTGCAACCGAAATATTAGGGATTTTGATGTCTTCTGCTTGTTTAATATGATTGTTTTTAAATTTTGACCGCTCAATTTGCAATCTTGAAGTCTGCCTAACAGAAACGACAAATACAAAAACTGGATAGTTAATAATTTAATTATTACAATTTTTTGTACATCTTTAAAAAGGCTGAAAGCCTGAAATTGCAGAGAAAAATCTGTCAGCCGATGACAACCATGACGCATAAAACAAAGTAACACACACAAATAACAAAGTAGAAATTTTGATACGACATATCAATACGCGAGAGAAAAATATGAGAAAGAAAGCACAAACATCAATCACATGACCGCCATGAAAGAAACAAATGTATTGTATAATTCATTTAAAATACCAACCTTCCAATGTCTCGCATTGCTCAAGATTATGATAATCCGTCCTCCTAAGAATACCTGATCTAAATCCACGAACTAAACCCTCTAAATAGCCACCGTCGACGTTGAAAAACAGATCAGAATACATACTTTACGAGCAGCAAACGAAATAAAATTTATTAAACTTTTTGTGTCTATTTTCTTCGCTGACCAGTGAATCCCCCACTTGAGCCAGCGCACAAACAGCGGTGTGATTTAGTACCAGAGAGTTACGTCGTGTATAAGCAGCAAAGTGGCTCTTATAATATGCTTCTGGTGATGAAGGCCCGGATGTGGTTTAACGGACCGAAACCTTTGCAGTGTTAGAGAGGTTAAGATACCCCGGGTACGGGTACGGGTAGCCATAATTTATTCATTGGAATTTCTTGTTGTTTGCACGTTTCATAATACAAATCATTTTTACCTCAAGAGGCTAAAGTCTACTGGAAAAGAATTGTCGAATTAATTGCGAAACACTGATGGAAATTCACTGAACAAAATAAGGTTATCCGTACCCGTACACCGGAACTGGGGTATCTTAACCTCTCTATTAAATACTTACGTGGTGTACCTACAAACCAATTTATTTAAAGTGGCTCTTGTAGAGCAAGCTAATCCAGTAAACTCTTATTTGCGTTCACTGAGCTAATCTCGTACCAAGGTGAATCTCGTACTTGCCAGATGAACAGGGGCGAGCAGCCCCTCGTCGTTTGCGTTTGCGCAGCCCCCAATCTCGTAGTCTCGTACGCTATTAGATGAGCAGGGGCAAGCAGCCTAGTCCCTAGGCCTCTTATACGTCGGTTACGTCACTGATTTTAAAACCCGCGCAATGAGGCCTAGGGACTAGGCTGAGGGGCGAGGGGCCGGTTGCTCGAAAGCAATCTCGTTCCCCGAGCCCGCGATTTCTCTGGCAAGAAAACAAAGGCTCTGGAATAATACAAACCGGAAGCCAGATATCCTGGTTCCGGTTTATAACGGTTTTTTGTATTTCAAAATTGAAACGGCGTGAACGACCAATCGGAATCATTTCTGATTTCGATTATTCCAGAACCTTTGTTTTCTGGCCAGAGAAATCGCGGGCTCGGGGAACGAGATTGCAGAGGTTGAGCAAATTTAAGAACCTACATCTTATGATGTACTTCCAATGAAAATTACACTATTTGCATCGAAATATTTCAGCTTGCTTTTTCAACGACACAATTTTGGGTCAAAATTCGGTGGTAAACGTAAGCTTGTCAGCTTGTGACTCGAAATGATGTTAAACTCATCCTCACATCCTGTGCATATTTTCTCAGTGAAATACAGTTAAATTTCTACTGGCATCTTGACCCTAACATGCAGTTTTTAAAATTTCAACAAAACATTTTAAACTTGGCTTTAATATTAACTTTAACTTATCAACTTGACACTTATCAACTTGACACTTATCAACTTGACTTGAAAACTTAGCCGTTATAACCTTGACCGTTATTCAGGTGGTTACCTTGACTTTCATTAACATGAAATTTATTCTGCTTGAACCAGTCTGCCAAAGATCTTTCGTTATGACGTCAGTGTAGAGGACTCGCCAAATAATCAATAAGAGAAAGTAAACCCAATCGTTTGTTCTCTTGAAAAGTATAAGTACACTTAGCAGAATCAATATGACGGGTTGTGACATCATTACGTCATAAGCAAACAAAAAAACTAAATGAGTCTGAGTACAGTGTTGCTTAACAGACCAAAATACGGCGACCTTTCGGAGTTCCATCGTTGTAAGGACTGATTACTAGAACCTCGTTACCAGGGCCTTTTCTCTCGCCCCAGCCCCACCGCCCATATAAAGTCCCAAAGGCCCTGGTAACGAGGTCGTGATTACTAATATGTTTAAAGTTATTTTAGTTTATATTGAAATTAACGCACAGACTTGATAAAGTGAATTTCTAGAATTTATCAGTTCTTTGGAGTCCAAGGACTTTATTAATTCCCTGCCGCGTAAATTGCACAAAACATGAAATAATTTTGCTTTTTGACTTTGTAGCACCTCATTCCGATTTTTATCCATCCAAGCCAAAATGAGTCTTCCATGAATCTTCCATCAAACGTGGAAAAAGCTGAATAAACACTTTAGCCTTATGAAGTCAATGCCAATGGCATTTTCATGCGTATTAATTACCTGGAAATGTTTACATATAGATTGTTATCGATTAATCAGTCACCAATAATTTTGAATTGTGTTAAATGAATTGAATTCGTTCATTCAGTTTCTGTAAATCCAAAGAAACCCGTAATCAACGACGCTTAATTCAATTTTTAACACCATTTTAGCATCCATTCACAGCCCCATTTTGACAGCGGCCAATTTTACATACCATCGGTATTAAAGATATGCTCCGGATAGATATATTGGACATTCACCGCGGCGATCTTTGCGATCGAGAAAATTGTCCATATATGGTGGTAACCTGCCGTAGTAAACCTCATTGTCATTGAGTTTTGTTCAAAACTACAAAAAAGTCGAGCGAGGCAAAATATACTTATAATATTTATACAGCAATAAAAATACACAATGAATCAATACAAAAAGGTGACAAAACTGGGACATGTCAAAACCTGTAAAGGAAATAACGCCCCCCAACATGAACTAAAATTCTGTTCGTCTGTTTTGCAGAAAAGACTGCGAGAAGTTCTAAATTTGCCTGGTTCAACCATATAGCAGTAGTTTATAGAAATATAAAGTCTATAAAATTTGTTATTGATACAAAAACCTAAAACAGAGATCCTAAACACAAGTCCGCGCGTCTGTTTGCAGAAATAGTCAAAATCACGAGTGCCAAATGTTTCTAAATCGCGGAGCTCAACCAGACATGACAAATTTACTAAATTCTTCGTAGTTTACTAGACCTTCGGCGTCTTCTTTGCCCTCGAGAATTTCATCGACATCTTCGTCGGTCATCCTATCCCCCATGCTCGTCAAGACATGGCGAATCTCTGCGTTGCCAACGAAGCCGTTTCCCTCGTGGTCGAAACACTTCCACGCTTCCATAAAGCCCTCGATTGTGCCGGTGTTTCCCTTTTTCGAGCATTCCTCGTGGAAACCGAGGTACTGCTCGAAATCGATCTCTGCTCCTTTGCCCAGTTCGTCCACGAACTTGTCAATCTCTTCGCCCATTGGATTCAGCCCGCAAGAACGCATAATGTTGCCAACCTCGTCGACCGTGACTTTGTCATTACCCGTTGTATCGAACATCAAAAACGTATCCTTGATTTCGGCTATCTCGTCGTCGCTAAGAGACATGGTGGTAAGATTTTATGAACGCGTTCGATACTCAGCTCTAAACGCAAAGACAACGCCAAGGAAAGTGACAAAATCGCTTGAACAAATTTTAATTACCCCCAAAATGTTATGATCGTAATTTGCATGACAACCGTAAATCGGTATCCAGCCGGTTTTTGACACTTCGCTGGGAAAATGCTCGACTCTAATGCGATCTGTTTTGTAACAAATTCCAAACTTTTCTCTGTCAAAAGATCGTTATTGCTTGCTGAAATCCGCAGCAAAATTGCCCATCAGCTCAAATTTCGAGGGCTTTACCTAAAAACATACTTTCAAGCGGACAGGAACGCATCCAACTTAAAGCTAGTCGGTTAAATTGTTAGGTTGTTTTCACAGCATGAACTATTTGTTATCGCTCCTTTGATTCAAACGTCTGCAACATCAAACGTGCATCAAAATCTGGGTTTAAAAATAAGCGGAAAATCTCGCATGCACTCCTTTAGAAGACGTTCCTCAATTGTTTGTTTGTTGTAAAAAGCATTGCAAAATAAATAAAGTTATTTGCAGTTGTTTTGCCCACGTTTTAGGCCGTCATGCGTTGCACAAATCTGAGAGTCCAAAGCCACTCATATTACAAGGTTTTGTACATCACCGTTTGCGGTCGGGGAAAAGACACCGGTAAGAACATTATCAATACCGAGAAAAAACCCCCGGCATAGAAGCCCTGGTATAATAAATAGCACCAAAATATCACGCAATTGTTCGTATTAAACTCGACTTAAACTCGACTAAGTTAACTCAAGCCCTATTTACACTACGACGCACAATTTTTGATAATGCGTATATTACACAAGAAATTGGTATATACGTATGAAGTTTTGTTTGCCCAAAAGCCAGTCAAATTTCATCAGTATACCAATTTTATCTGTTTATAAACTATTTTTAATCATGAAATTATGACTACCTAATTATACGGTCCTAATTTCTCCGTATCAATTTCATTCGTACCAAAACTAAACTCGTGCGTAGTGATGCATGTTGTACAAGACGTTGCCATCGGCTTAGTTGTGGAAAAACAGATAAATTTTATTTAGTAGCTCTATGCATATAATTATTCAGATAAACATAAAAATAGAAAAACTTCAGAAAAGCAATCTTTTCTCATGAACAGTAACACAACGAAGTGTACTTGATGATATAAAAAACTGATCTATTCTATACAATAAAAGCTCATAGCCTTACTACCAACTAATAAAACATAGCATTATTCATAAATCATGATAAACTGATTCAAACTAATTCTCATTAAGCCTGCATAGAAGATATATAATATTAGGAACTTTGTGATATTTTTAGGCATAGACAGACTTGCACCCGGCAACGCCTCTGAAGGCGCTTCTTTGCGTCTTCGGTATTTTCTGAGCAAATTTTTGTTGCACTTTCAAGGGTATTAGAAGTATTTTCCCCTACAGTTATAACGACTCCCAAAATTAGAAATCAAAAAACGTCTCGACGCTTCGACCTAAGGGCCTTTATCGTCAGGTAGGCTAGTATGACTCCTGACAAAGGCCTATTTTAGTCAGTTTTTATGCCACTCTTGACTGAGACGTTACCCGAAGCTACGGCCAAACTGCTTGTTTTGTATTGTTATAATATAAAAATATACAATATCTGCCTGTGCCAAGCTAGCTATCTTCATAATTTACTGATGTCTTTACTATATTGTGTTTAATAAGTGAAAGTAATATTTTAATATTTTTCGATCACATTAGGAATTAACATAATTTCCAGCTAACCAGGGTCAAATTGTCATTCTTCATCTGGTGGCACTGTCACCTTAACTCTGTGCCAAGCAGTGGATAAGACACCGCGCAAATTCCATATCGGAGCAACATTTTCTGGTTGACTATTGTAGGATGAATCTATAGCTTTACAGCAAACTTCGACAGTATCCCGATTCTGGACTGGAATGGCTGCCTCCCAAAGAGTCCAGCCCCAGGCCCTGCCTTCAGGTTGCTCGGACTTCTTTAGTTCAGCGATTTGCCACGTCTTTCCTATAAGATGGACGAAATTATGTTAAACCGGAGCTAGATATGGTCCATCATGACATGGTTTGAAAAGTCGACCAATAGAATTCTTTGCTCAGTCTTTTTGATCATGTTTTTGAAAATTTACGCAGCGGTGGAAATGGTAGAGTGTTTGCATGAAATATCCATGTTATCACCAGGCCGAACTAATCAACTGCTTTTCTGAGTTACTTATCGAGAGTCTCGTCATCACGACTTTGTCACAGTTACTGTACACAGCATCAAGTCCTTGAGAGTTCAAAATTTCAGTCAAAATGTTTGCAATGACATCGTTGAAATTTAGCACGGGTAAACTTTCTTCAGTTTAAATAATGTTTGACAAACATTGGAGTGAATTAATAACCCTTTGTCAATTATGTCGCATTAAATGTCGTATAACAACTGCCTAAAATAGACAACAAAAATTTCTTGAGGTTTCGACCTAAGGGTTTTCGTCAGGAGAGTTCTCTCTCGTAACAAAGGAATAACTAGAAGAACTAACTCTCCAGACTAAGGCCCTTAGGTCGAAAAAATTTTTTTGTCTATTTTTGGCAGTTGTTTGAAGACGCTAACACGTAGCTCCCTGGTCAGTATATCGCCTGGCAATTACGGTTCCACTTGGGCAGAATCTCTATTGTTATCACAAAAACTTTGACTCTAAGCCAGACATTATCCTGCACACCTACCTCCATCAGGTGAAACATCGACTCTTACGATGCCTCGACCACCACCGCTCCACGCATATCCTTTGACGGTAAACTCTTCAGTACCAGCCTCCAGAACCGCGCCGTTGGCGGGTTCACATATGGCCGACTGCACAGGCAGGTCCTGAATCGAGGGCATCGAAGTGAAGTCAACAGTGTCCCAGTCGGTGCTCGGTGAGAATCCCTTGTAATCATTGCGTTGCCAGTGACAACGGCTTTCTTCGTCAGCAATCACGATTCTATTCAACCACTTCACCTGCCTCGCACCGACCACACCCGGGATGATGATCCGCACGGGATAACCGTGGTCCTTAGGGATATCTTCACCGTTCATGGCAAATGCGATCAGCGTGTCGCTCTGAGGATCCAAGGCCTTTCCAAGAGACACGGAAGCACCGTACGGGGCTTTTGCAACGTCAACGTCCATACCTTCAAACTGAACATGCTTTGCCGCGTCAATCTCGCTTTCCTTGAATCCAGCCTCGAGTAATACGTCACGTAATTTGACCCCAGTCCACTGAGCATTCCCTATAGCCCCCTCGGCCCAGGTGAGGCCCTTCACTTTCTTAATACCGTTCATTTCATCGCGTCTGTTACCAGCGCATTGAATCGCAACAGTCAAAGTGTGTTGCTTGAATTTCGTCTTCAGTTCGTCCAGACTTAAGCTACGTGGCTTAGTTCCATTTCCGAGATTCACTTCAAGTCGGTAGGTTTTCGGGTCAACTTCGGGAACCGGCAAATGGTTTCGTACGTAGAAGAGGGAATTAGGTGTGACTAGGCTGTCCCCCAGTAAGGTTAGGGGGGTTTCCGCGTTGAACGGTTTCTTGGAGCGTACGACAAGCGACGGGTGGCGTTCTGGGTCATTGCGGTATGGGTCGTTCGTATCAACTACAGACTTCTTATCTTCCGCCTTAAAATCAATTTAGCGGGTTTTCAATGACAGAGAAACACCTTTCTAGGGTTATGTTGATTAGAATCAGGGTAAAAATACGTCAAAAAGAAGAGGTTCAGTCACTGACCTATAATAGTCTATACTATATCTCGTATAGGCCCGTGGTTAAAAAACAATGCTACATGAAATCTTCACTTTTTATCAGCGAAGGCTCCTTCTCTTAATGTTAATTAAGGAGCTGCTGGCGCTAACTCGAGATTTTCTTTATATTTTGCAGATATTATAGCAATGTAATACCTTACACAGAAATATAAGCTTTTTATGTGTCTTAAAAACTATTTACTCTCAATATAATTTCACCCTATTCATATGTCACAGTTAGATGCTTTCAGTTATATGTAGGTATAGGCTTTTTAGGGTGTCCACTTATAGCATGATTGTACATAACTCAACACAATGGATTTTGGTGCACAGATTTGGGAAGGTTGGAAAAAAGATAATGATGAAATTCAGCCATATCTTGTTATTTATGGTCTAATACCACTCAATTTTACTACATTTGTCAGTGATACCAGAAGCACAAACATTATTGTTTAACTTATTGTATAACTTTGATGAAGTGAACAAATATTTAGCAGGAGACAAAATCTCAGAGAAGGTGCACAAGAATCTCACCAGGATATGCCTAACTTAACAATTGGACATGAAGGCCATACCTTTAGTTCTCCAATGCAATATTCTTCTAACATCTTGAAAACTTCATCAGTTTGATGTACTGCGTACATAGCCCAGAAAGGCTCAAGTGCTCCCCCAGCTGCCAACAGAATCTTATCTCCCCCAGGGTGTACACCCACAAACTCTGTGATATCATATACTTGCCCTCCATATGTCACCCAGATACCGTTTTGTGGAGAGTTGTGTTTTGCCACATCCTCTTTTGAATACAAAGGCGAAGAGGGTGGAGATGGATTTTCCTTAGATAAAGACCAAGCATTCAGTGAATCTTGACCATACAAGAAGAGAAACCCAGTACCAAGCGAGCCTGCAATTGCACAACCCCAAAACACATTTCTGCTATATTTTGTTTCTGTTCTTGTTTGAATTGCTCGGGCAGCCTGGCCTTTGAATTTCTGAGAACTGCACCTTTGCAGAACAGCAGTTAAAAAAGGTCGACATATTCTTGATAATGAAAGCATTGTTCAGCTACCAAAATAAAAGTGCAATGGTATAGTCAAAAGATATAATTGTAAACGACAAATATAATATACACTGGTGCAGTGATTAAGCTCATACAATTTCATAACTTACCCATTTTTACTACTCTGGAAATAGTTTTTATCTCTATGTTTACTTTTGTTTGTTGATATATTACACAAGATACATCCAGCATGCAAGAAGCCAGGACCCAATTACAATCCAAATTCTCTTTGATAATTCAGTGAAATTTCATTATATTTTTGTCAATGTGCTTGACATACATTTACAATGTTGCCTGGTGTAAATGTCTGGAAATAATTGTTTGTCCACTGCCCTGCAGAAAATTAAATCCTGGTGGACCACTGACATTGAGGAAAAAAAGGAAAGCATTGCCGCCATTGGTGTAATAAGCAGCAATACTTACTATGATAGAATTTAATAAACTAAATAACTACCAGTATGTCTAAGATTGCAAACAATGTACCTAACCATAAATCCCCATACCTAATCCAAACACTATGCCTACACTGGTAGCTCTTGGAGAGATCTCATAGATAACAGTTCATCTCCCAATCAAAGACTAAGGGCCAATGCATTGCAAAAATACTGCTTATTATTGTTTGTGAAATCACATTGTTACTGTATTTGCCAAAACTGTTTAGTTGCAAAATAGGTGATACTAGGTCATTGCAGTTTACTACAAACTAATGCTTTCAATCGCTTGGCTAAATTACAGTGGCTGCAAACGTTACTTGACGATTTGTGTATCCTTGGGCCCTGGTATGGGTACTGTACTTTTGCCCCACAGAAAGTGAATATGCTCAGATTTATTGCCAAATTTGAGCGCAAATGTATTAAATGAAAAGCCTAGGAACGTGGGACAATGCCTCCGAGACTATTTTGATCTGGATAATGATCTTAGACTTAAAAAAAATTACACAACAGCTACACGAGGGGGCTATATGTACTGTACTTAGAGCATAACACGTATATATAATAAACCACGATCTCAATTCAAATTAAATGTATTTTATAAAATTACATTTCGAATATTAAAAGCATGCACATGCAAAGTATGTCATTATTATTACTTACTGGAGATGTTGATCGCAATATTTCATTTACCCTAAGATGAAAAATGAAAAATATCAGACTCCTTTGTTTTGTCTTGTATAGTACTGATTGTTCTCGAATCTCATCTTCCCCCCCTGTCCAGCTCTATTTCCCTCATATTGCAGTGACAAACAGATGTCTCAGGCAGGAGGTGGCGTTAAAATGTGGTTGGCGGACAAGATCAAAGAAATATATTCCGTAACAGTAAAGCTGGTACTAATTTGCAACATTTTGCTACTTTACTGGAATGGTCAAAAGATATACTACTCTGGATACGAGTGATGACCCCTCGCACATGCGTAATAACATTATTCCATAAATGCTGATCATTGCAATTCCTAACTCTACGTACCCTAAGGCCTAGGTTATACGTCGCATTTTGGTCGCGTTCGAATGCAATTCAAACAATAGATGAGATGATAATGAGGCTTAATGAGGTTTATCATTTCATTAACTATTGTTTTGAATCGTGGCCAAAGGTGCACATATTACGACTCTACATCAATCACGACTCTATCATCAACCACGCCTTATGAATGCGTATCACTTTCGCATTTCTCGGATTATCGCTAGAGATATAAGACAAAGGCTTACGAAAATACTCTTTACCACCCTAACAACAGTTTCTGCAGCCAAATAAAATCAAAATTTGAATATCTGGAAAAGGAATTTAGAGATTCAAAACGTTTTGGTACTGAACTGTCGGGCGACGGCAACCAACGAGGTAGGGGCGACGTTTCATTTAGTATAATTTTTCTGTGTTTCATCAATACAATCAGAATGTTGCTGGTATTGCTAATCAGAGTCAGTGTCAGAGTGTTTGCTATGAATTCGGTTATGCGCATGACGTCAGTTTTAACCACTGACCTATATCTAGTATATATATAGGTCAGATCCTATAACGTGCCTGGTTGGTGGTTTGAACGCCGACGGCAAAAATAGGTTGAAGGCGCGGTTATGCGCATGACGTCAGTTTTAACCACTGACCTATATCTAGTATATATATAGGTCAGATCCTATAACGTGCCTGGTTGGCGGTTTGAACGCCGACGGCAAAAATAGGTTGAACTAATTTTTTTTTCTCGCCGAGGTACGTCTAGACGGATACATTTTTTTATTCATTTATTTCATTAGTCAAATAATTATACAGGATAGATTCATTTCGGTTCAATTAAGACTTGTTTGTAATTCAAGTCCTGTGGCCTATACCTGTTCGAGTCTTCATATAGAGTTGTACTTTAATTTTTATCATTTGGCATTTTGGTGTAAGTTACAAGTTATTTTTATTACATTTGCGCGCACTTAAAGTGAGAGAAATCAGGTTTATTTTAAAATTTTAGGAGTAAGATGTTCTGTACCAAACCATCAGTTCGACGAGTATTAAGTATACTCCCTGTATGAGTACATATTATTCGGTCCGCTTTTTACAGGTTTTACTAACCCACGAGGCGCCAGCATGCTTGACTCAAAATCGCATAGTTTCTGAGCTCATGTACACGTCTTTTTGCCCGGAACATTTGTACTGTTGTACACAATTGCTATAGATTGATATGGGCTGGTATTTCTTAACTGATTTATTGCAAGACTGACAGTACTAGTCTTAATATTATAAATATGGATAAGAAAATGTTGCGTGCCCTAAATTTCAACCACAAGCGTTTTTAGATAAATCAAAACCTCAGGTTGAATAATATATATGATAGCTCATTCCTTAATTCCGTCTCAATTTTCACATTGGAAGTTTGAAAGTCATTTAGCATTATGCCTGATGAATGTGCTGCTCGTATTTTGCATCAAACCGAGTTTTTCGCGCCGCAAATCGTGGGTGGAAATCGTAAGCTTTGATTAAACTCTCGTAAATTGCCGAGATGGCGGCTCGACTGATTTTTGTTATGCTGATGCATAATTTAGAGTAGAAACTTCAGTGCTCCTGACGGGTGACCTGTGGTTTGAGACTGTTAAAACACTTGGTCACTGTCAGGATTCGTTGCCAACATGCAGAGGGATATCATTAGTGCAGAACATCCTGTCTGGTGAAGTTCAAGTGCCCTAGCTGTTTACAAGCAGAGCCGCAAGACGAATTGCACTCGAACGCTATTATAAAGCTGTTGTCAGCTTCCTGGCGACAGGGCGGTTCACTGGAGTACCTTAATTGTTACCATTAGCGAGCGTGGCATATCATAAATCATCACAAATGCAAGCAACACTAATGACAGATCCAGGCTACTCGCGAGCATCGAAACGCCTTCTTTAGCCGGCCGATACATGCTGTTCTGGCCGCTGATAGCACAGTGAAGAAAGCCATTTGATAAAATCGTTCATTTTGCATTCTTCGCCGTACGAACTTCCTGTGTGCGAAGCTGTGACATTGTACCCTCGGCGGAAATGAGAAGTCTTAAATCGAACAACTGCTCATCGCGTTAACTATACAACACACGTACAGGAAGAATGGACTAACTCTACATTGGCCTCCTGTGATTCGAAACCATCTTAGTCGAACACCTGGTTGTCACATCGAATACAAAGTATCAAGTCCGCCAAACCGGCGATCGTTCGCCCAAAAACCGAGCAGAAAAAAGCCGGACAACCGCCTCGAACAGCTTCGACATGGGCGATATGCTTACACAAGCGCTGACAAGCGACGACGGTGCTCCAAACTCTCCTTCCCACTCGGTTTCGCAGACTTCGACGATGATAGAAATCTCGGGAAAGCAGAGGACCCGCGATAAATGGGATAACAAGGTTCAATTCCTCCTCGCAACGATCGGATTTGCCGTCGGTCTTGGGAATATTTGGAGATTCCCCGGTCTCTGTTATAAGAACGGGGGAGGTAAGCTTGGCTTAATTCTTATATCTTTTTAACAACGTTTTTACCTGCTTTTAGCTATAGTGGGCGTAATTGAGTTTCAACAGAAGCTAGACGCTTGCTTTTCTTGTGGATTGAACACACTTCAGGCTCAGCGCTGCGACGGAGCGGAAAATGTTGTTTGGATGCTAGTTTTACAACTCATCATAACGGAAATCATTTCGTTTTCAATCAGCTCTAAACGTTAGTCAAAGCAACAGTTTTTCTTCTTAGTTAACTTCGGTTTAGGTACATTGTAATTTGATTTTACACAATCCAAAACTCATTCAAGACATGCAGCAATTCTGACGAGAAGACGAGAGGTGAAGAAGCATTCACACTGAATGTGAATTCCGCCTTGTTTGAGAACGTTCCGACGCTTTATCTCCAACGCCCGCAATTAGAATTCGGGTTTTAGACAACCGATTAATCATAATTGCTACATTCATACTTAATTGCTACTATAATTGTCTGGGGATTTTTGCCGGCTTTTCAAAGTTACTAAACTAAGACGAATCGTTTATGTTATTATTACAACATCACATCAACAAATTCTCTTGGTAAATAAGCGTGATGTGATAGCTTAAGGTAGAAAATATACCAAAGCATTAGGCGTAGAAAAGTTTTGGAGAAAAGGTTTTATTATGAAAGTTTAATCGCTTGAACTTCAAAGGCTTTACAGGTTGCAAACGCACGGAAATATGTTGAATGTGTCCAATGCCATGTTAAAAGTCTTAAGGCTTAAGCGTTATTAGCTTGGAATTCTTTCTTCCATTTTTTTGCTCATGTATATCACGTTGCTTTCGAAATATTTGTGAAAACAAATCAACAATGTTTTATAACATGTATCGACCGCGTGCCTTATGTGCGATCCTTAATAGGTGTATTTACTGAGACCACACAGCAGCCGATGAATCAAATGACTGGTATTTAAATATTTGTGTAAAGGCAAGCTCAGCGATTTAGTCGGGATTAGGATGCTGTCACAAAAAAACAACTCCGCGGTCTGAATGGCAAATTCGGATTAACAAGTTCGAAACTGGAAACAAAAACAAATTGAAACCGTAGCTTATAGTCTGCGGCTTCGTTTCAGTTTTAATGAGAATCATTTCACTGCTCTTTAACTCTACGCTGGGCACCACAAATGCAAAACAAACAGAGCGCGTCGTTTAGTCCACGACAAGCGCGCTGACAATGGGCCCCGCTGTTAAAAAAATGAGAACAATTTTTATGCCATTATGTGGCGATAATCAGTTACGACGAAATAACTTTCATAACCTGTTTGGATATCAGCATGCTATTTACAAAGGAATATAGCCATGATAAGGTCTATCTGATCGAATGATACAGTGCCTTGTTTGCGGTAAATTGCTCGCCGGTACCAGCTAAATTCTAAGTGATTTTTTGCTGACCTAAGTGGTTGGAATATCAAACAAAAATCGTAAAACGTTCATCGAAGAAGGGCGACATACTGCATGCAAATGAACTATACAATAAACCCGTATATATCCCCAAATGACTTTATATAGTATATAAATGAACTGATCAAGGAAAAAGCCCTGCTATCGATCGAGAAAAGTAGTCAGGGTATTATACATCGGGTGCATCGGTCGCAGGCAGTTCTCTAGCCGGCGAACGGGTACGGCGGGTTTGGAATTTCTAATAATGCCAAGTTGAATGACAAGTTCAGTCTGCAATTTTCAAACAAGCTTGTGATAGATTCTAATGTCGGCACAGCCACAGACAAGAACGTTTACAAATCGTTCACATGCATGGATAATTTTGTACGCTATAGTCCTCCGAGCTGACGTGGATTGGTTTGCGTCGAAACCGAAAATAACTAAGCACTTTCACATTTCCTTCGAACTAAAACCACTCAATCGGCCTATTTGTGAAAAAAAAAACCAAGTTCAAACGCGGTCAATGAAAAAATTATTGTAATTCTCGTGTAATTCTCGTGCAATTTCAAGCACTTAGCTACTGCATGACCTTGGTGGAGATAACCGGTACCTTTGAGACTCCGGCTCACAATGATTGCAAAGAAATTCTAAATTTATGCGGACGTCAGAGCTACTCAGGTACATAACACCCTCTTCTTCAGTTTAATGTTGTAAACATCGCAAAAACAATTGTGGTCGATTCATCATGATGAAAGCTTATGCATAGCATTTACTGGAGGAGTAGGGTTCGGTTTAAATAGCTCAGCAGGATCTTATTATGCACTATAGTATAGGCGTACATGCTTAAGAATTTGATGGGTATATAAGTTGAGGGGACAGGACTCAAGGTTTCCCCTCTCCTCTGAGAGAGCACCAATTGCAGACGTACAAGTTGTTTTTTGGGGTCCACCGCCCTGTATCAGCAATCTCCCTACCCAGGTACGCCTATTTGCTAGGAGAGAAATCATGTACTGTTTACTTTTGGCCCCTTCCCAATCCTGAATCTTTGAACACTATATCATTAGTCAAGCAGGTCAGTCAGTGTCGATTTGGTTTGATAAGCTTCAATAGTCTTTCACTTTCAGGTTAACCAAAACCAGACTATGTCGGAAATATAAATCATGAAATTGATGTTAGCCCTAGTACTTATCGAATTTCCAAATACATATGACAATAGCTGTAAGAAATATTCTGGTTTAATCTGGAGTAATAACTATGTTTCCAAATTCCAACAGCAGTTTGTATAAACAAAACGATTTCCAGTTCCAGTATATTCGGCCCTACACAAGCATCTTTTACAGACCGAATGCAAAAGACTGCTGAAGCGAGATGAAACAGTTTAAAATCAAATGAGAAACTTTGAGCGAATATCTTGCGCGCGAGGCTATACGACAATTTGAGCCCTACGGTGCACGCTCTCTGTACTACAGTTACACGCAAATACTCCTGGCGAGTCGACGTTGGCGCTTTTGTTGGGAGTTCAAGGGAGATCAAAAACTGTTTGAAAGACACAAGGTGTAAACCAGCCGGCTATCATAACCACTGTGTACTAATCATAAATTATGTCTTTGTGAGAAAACGACGAGAACCCAGCGGTTGTTTTCGAAACGAAATAACATTCGAAGTTGATGAATTGTTCACGGTTGATCTCGTAAACAACAAGAAATTATGGACATCACAGGTTGTTGTGATGTGATGTTGCCCGGAGTATAGGGACCGCTTTGCCCTGTCAAAGTTTCTGTGGTGACCTGGTCACAGTTTGTGTTTTGCTAAAGCCATTGCTACGTTTTGCTAAGAATCTGCTAGAAACTAAAGCATTCATAAACATGTAGAACAAACTCTTGGGACAAATTCTTCCGAGGACTTCCCAATGAAAAATTCCAACTGTGATCACACAGATTTTGACAGTGTGGCCTAGGATCAAATAAGCAAGCTGAAATATGGTGCATGACTACGGTGGGAATCAAAACCGGAAGATGTTTAATTATGTTCTACCGAAGGAGCGTACATTAGGTCGGCAATCACTGGCTAATAAAAGTGCAAATTTAAAGTCTCAATTTCTACTCCCACTTGATCGCACAAACTGCATATCAGTTCTTGAGAGGTTCACTGGCTATAGCTGTCTCCAGTTCTACATGAGTAAACACCACAGGCTATTTTCTCTGCGATTCGCAGATGAAACCGGAATACCCAATCAAAGACTGCATACAATCCCATTATGATTGTTCATTTAACTGCTGTAGGACACAGCCATATTGTATTTCATCACAAAAACTACGTACGTGTTGTTGAGGGTTTACTTGTGAGAAAATCAGTCAGAGTACCCACTCAGAGACTGCACCTAGACTACCCACTCGGAAACTACACCTAGACTACCCACTCACTACACCTGAGGTGGGTACTCAGAGATTACATCTAGAGTAACACTCAGAGACTACACCTAGACTACCCACTCAGAGACTATATCTAGAGTACCCACTCAGAGACTGGACCTAGAGTACCTACTCAGAGATTACACCCAGAGTACCCACTCAGACCTAGACTACCCACTCAGAGACTATATCTAGAGTACCCACTCAGAGACTACACCTAGACTACCCACTCAGAGACTAAACCCTGAGTACCCACTCAGAGACTACACCTAGACTACCCACTCACAGACTGGACCTAGAGTACCCACTCAGAGACTACACCCAGAGTACCCACTCAGACCTAGACTACCCACTCAGAGACTAAACCCAGAGTACCCACTCAGAGACTAGATCTAGAGTACCCACTCGGAAACTACACCTAGAGTACCGACTCAGAGACTAAACCCAGAGTACCCACTCAGAGACTAGATCTAGAGTACCCACTCGGAAACTACACCTAGAGTACCGACTCAGACCTAGACTACCCACTCAGACATACTGACAACGGTCCACCAAAAACGTGCATAAATTATGCAATCCAATCAATTTGAAGCGTCGAATTTTATTTGAATCCATATTACAAGACATTATAAATTGGAGAGTTATTAAGTTAATTAGTACATTATTGGCCGTCAACGAGCGTGCATTGGCTTTTCAAAAGCACCAGCAGGTTCCTACCCTAATTGAAATTGACATCAGTAATAAATGGAGGTTGCATCGTTATCGTGTGCATGCAATGTTTTACATCATGTACAATCAATTAGGATTATTATATACCCAAGAATGAGGCCAAAGAAGAGAGCTCACTTGATCATAGCACAGGTGTGCTTGATAGCACACCTTTGCACAATCAGCTCTATCAAAAAGTCCGAACTATTTTATACGTGATGATATTTAAGAAACATTAAGACTCGTGCCCTTTTAAAACTTAAGCGATGCGAACTTTTATTTTATTATCATTTCAATCTTTCCCCTTGTGCAAACAATCAAAAACTTTTCAAAATGAACAAGTATACGAATGTAAGTAACGGTTGGTCCTCTTCAAGCACTTGAAAACAACAAATAGCAACGATAATACGCGCAACAATGTCGTCAACTTTTATTTAATTGGTGTCAAGGGAGAATATTGACGTTTTTGCATAACAATACCATTTTAAAATGAAATATAAATAAAGCATTCTTTTAGGATTGAGCTCTTGCGGTGCTAAAACGTAGGCATATCAGTTTCTGCACGTCCTCAAATAGCAGGTACTAGGCGCATGAATTAACGTTCAAATGCAAGGATGCTGCCAAAAATCTTCTTAAACCAAGATTTTTCATGCACTTCAGACCTGAATCAATCCATATAACATTGTCGGTTAATCCTTCGCGAACCAAACATCAGATCTCAGCTGGAGATTTTGAGGGTATTGAAATTATCAATGGACAAAAACTCTTTCTTTTTCCGGTTGCAATTTGCGTTCGGAATCACTAAAAATGCTTCTTAAAAAACTCGTTATTGTGTTTGATCTTACCACTTTAATGCGTTGGTGTTTTATTCAAAGCCTTTGAAGCATGCGTGGTTCCGTTTTCTTAAGTGGCTACGGTGTTTCAATAGCTCAGCAGACCACACAGATGCTGTTCAAAGTTGTGCGTTTGAATCTCAGGCCGAATTTATGTAACTTTGCAATTTCAGGCAATCGATGTAACTGATCTATATATATATATATATATTTAAAAATTTGTAATCCAGGCATATTTGTTTGTCAATGAATGTTCTCCGGATTTAAAATTGTTTTTTATTGAGCTTTCGACTCGGTACTTCGAGTCTTCTTCAGAATATCTAAATTATTTACATGCATGTGTATAGCTTTATATATTTAAGTTTCGCGCTGTTCTTTAAGACTCTGTATACTATATATAAAGCTATACACATGCATGTAAATAATTTAGATATTCTGAAGAAGACTCGAAGTACCGAGTCGAAAGCTCAATAAAAAACAATTTTAAATCCGGAGAACATTCATTGACAAATGTATATATATATATATATAAATATATATAACTTCAATTGGCAACTACGTTTCCATTCAAATGCTATATATAGTTAAGACCTAGTTCTATGAAAATTCAAAGTTTTCTATTCCCGAGACCAATTTTTTTTAAGAGAGCATATAAGTGCTTTTTTGTAACCACGTTGATTCGCATTTTTTGTGCTGTCGCATCTTATCCTTGCTCATGTTGTTAATAGTTGATAGTTATGCTATGGATTGATCTGTCGTGTTTTGTTCTGTTTAACTTGTTTATATTGTTTAATAGAAAGTTGTCTAGTGAAAGTTTTTATGGAATGCTTTAGACTTATCTTTCTACCAGACATTTAACCTCACCCAGCAATTTTCTAACCCCCTATGCTATAAAAGATCACCCTTCCCCTTACTTCGGATCACACCAACTGAAAAACGCATGTTTCCACTACTGTGCTGTAAGTTACATGGAGTATTTCCTTATTCAAGGTGCGTTTCTCTTACCATACATCATTATGTTGATCGTCGAGGGCATACCGCTACTTTACCTGGAACTGAGCGTTGGGCAACGACTAAAGAAGGGATCTCTCGTTGCCTGGAGTACGATTTCCCCATACATGGGCGGCGTCGGCCTGGCCTCGGTGGTAATTTGCATATTCACCGCCAGTTATTACAGCATCGTGATATCATGGTGCCTGTTTTATCTCTTCAGTTCGTTTAGGAGTACATTGCCTTGGTCCAAATGCCCGACTCGGAAGTCGTTCAATTCTACCTCGAATCAAACTTTTGATATTCCCGTGCCGGAATGTGCAAACAGCAGCTCAATTTCGTACTTTTTCTTCCGCGAGACTCTCAACGTATCGGAAAGCATCGACGAGACCACGACTTGGAATTGGAAAATAACTTTATGCTACATCACGGCATGGATTGTCATCTATGTCTGTGTCATTAGAGGGATTAAGTCGTCAGGAAAGGTGAGCTATCCTCAGAGGTGCACAATGCTCCCTGAGTTGATTTGCAATGCATGCGTCTACAACTGTCTGCCCTTGTAGTTACGCTAAGAGCTTCACTTCTCTGATAATACGACATAAAATGGACACGTATATGTCTCTATACAAGTCTCTAACCTGACTACACGATGTCGGAAGAATTTGAAAACGCAAAAACGGCGAAGATTTTACTCACCATGAAAATAACCTAAATTAAACTAATTTGAGGCTAATATAGCAATATAAAGTTGAGCATAAGCCACGAGACTTGAAACAAGCCTCATTAATATGGAAACGACTTGATACGTGACGTCATAGTTTTCAAAATTATTTGGCAAGGCTATCCAGACGTATCCGTTCAGCCGTCATTTTCAAGTTCGTCCACTCTGGAGAGCGTTTCAAGATTCTTCCGTTTTCAGTGGGCGAAAACGTCGGATACGTGTGGACGATACGCGTAACCGTAAGAATATTCTTGCGTTTTCAAATTCTTTAGGCGTCGTGTGGACGGGGCATAAATTTGCACACGAGCTGTTTAGAAAATACACGCAAAATTCCTGTTATCATTTGCATATTCACCTTTTCACTGTAGCTCTAGCTTTTTGGCCACAACTTGTTATTTTAAGAGCAAAATATTTCATGTTTCAAAAGCGTGTTTACTTGAATATATTTTTATAAAAAGTTTGAGTTTCTTTGGGGAGAAATGTAGGAAGAGTAATAGATTTTATTGTATAATTCATTCTATTTTCATGTCGTTAGGTTGTATATTTCACGGCGACCTTTCCTTATGTTGTACTCACAGCCTTCTTCATACGTGGAATGACGTTGGAGGGTTTTGACAGAGGCGTAAAACATCTTTTCACGCCACAGGTTAGCCGGGATTTCTATGCTAATAACTGTCCATATTCAAGGAAGAAACAAGGTCAAAAACACAAAATTTGACCATGCAAAGCGCATGCTACACAGCGAATTTTTTTTACATCTTAGAATGCAATTCTACTTTAAGAAATGTAAATTTGGAAACTACTAAACTTTGTGTTGATTACACTCAACGGTGTTTTCCTATTTGTACATTTCGATAGATTTTTACTAATTTACAACTCTCAAAAGTAGAATGGCATTGCAAGTTGTAAGAAGATTGCAAAGCGAATCAATGGGTAAAGCATTATCGTGGTTGCACGGTTGAAAATAGGGTTCGGATGAGAATCAGCAGCCATTTACCATCAAAGAAACCGCCGTAACATAAATTAAGGACTTTCAACTAAAGGAACATTGGAAGTTAAATATCTGTCAGCAATTAAAACTGATTTCTATTGATCTCAAATGATGCGTGCGATATATTAAGAGCCATGGCACCAGCAGTCTGCAAACATGTCAGCGAAACTAATTTAAAAAATCTTAAACGTTAGCATTCCGTTTCACCCTCAAGATTGCTTTTGACATTCGTTGGACGAGAAACACGATTTTTTACATGCAAATTTTTTTTGTGCAAAAACATGTCAGGTCATATATGACCTTGTCCACACTGTTTTGCTTTGCATGATAATTAAGGCCAAGACACACCGCATGGTAAATGAAATACCAACAATATATAGTATCATTTTTTTCTTCGGGAATTTTTGCCTGGACAAAAAATGGATTATAATGCAATTTGTGTATTAAATATCAGCTACCGTGTATACGATAATAGTCTTAATTGAATTTTGATTTTGGGCGAAATTGATCCGGATTAATTTTCAACGGTAGCACTCTTGGAAGTCCTGTGGGACACTACAGTTAATATTGTGGAAATAAATAGTGTCTTAGCATCAAATGTGGTACATCAACTGCCTAAAATAGACAAAACACTTTCGAACTGAGGCCCTTCGTCAGGAGAGTTAGTATATTGGAATTATAGACGGGCATATAAAAAGAACCATGAACAAAAAACATTAGTGAAGGAAAAAAAATTAGTACATTGAAAGAGTTCTGAAAAGTCTTTTTAACAAAATCTTTAAATTTCTAGTGGGATAAACTGGCAGATCCTCTTATCTGGATGGAGGCAGCGTCGCAAATCTTCTATTCCACCGGACTGGCGTTTGGCTGTATTTTAGCGTTTGCAAGTTACAATCCAACGAATCAGAACACTTTGAAAGATGCAATCACAATTTCACTTGTGAATTCTGCGACATCACTATTTGCATCGATCGTCGTATTCTCTATACTCGGTTTTAGGTAAGCTCGGTCAAGGACTCAAGGCTAGGCTCTACAATGTCAGAAAGAGCGATAGCAGAACTTAATGCCAAACTCAGACCCAATATCCCATATCCGATCGCATTTTATTCGATAACTTTTTGTATGAAGGTTCATGGCAAAGGATTTCATTACCCAGCCAGGTTTTCTAAGCTTTACCCCATTGCTTTCATCTGCATGGCTAGTTATATTTGTAGATTCTTATTTGTCTGCTAATATAATAACTATCGAAGTTCATCTACCTTTACCTAAAAGTGTCGCCAGTCGGGAACCGTTTTAAATAATCCTGTGTTAACTATATAGTAGTAATTGCAAACTGTTTATCTTATTTTAGAGCCACGATAAGTGTGCAGCAATGTCTGGCTGGAAATGCGGGAAAAAATAACACAGCCAAACTCTGTGACTTTGATGAACACCTCCAAAGGGTGAGTGCTTCAAAATCCTCTTTGATCCACGGCAGAGACCAGATTTGAGTGTGGTTTCAGATCTATCTACGTATATACTTTTTTGTGAAAGTACAGTTAATCACAACATGTTGAATTTTGGAACCGTGAGTTATAGATGAAGGGACATAGACGATGAGTTCGTCGTTTGTTTCTCAGGTAAACATCATCACGGAAGAAATATATGATCAAAAGCGCATCTTGAGTCGGTACCTTTGATGTTTTAAGTCCACAAGATTTTTACTTGCTAAAGTCAAGCGCTGTACTTGACCACTGGTCTAGATGACAATTACATTAGCCAGAAGCAGTGAGCTAGGAACGATAAACGAGAGGGCGATCGATTTGACACGAAATATGTTTTTTACATATCTTGTATTCCTTGCTTTCTGTTAAAGTTCACTATTCCATTTAAAATTCATCTTCAGTGGCGTAGCCAGCATCGATAATTGGGGGGGGTCCATATTCATATATTCATGCAAACAGACTGTAAAGACAATTGATTTGAAAAGAAATTAATCCTGTGTATCACGAATATATGAATATGGACCCCCCCCCCAATTATCGTTCTGGCTACGCCGCTGTTCATCTTCCACTATAAAGCTAATCATGTTTCCTCAGGAAGAAAAGGCATTGCCCCACCGGAAGTTTAGTTGTATATCACCGATATATGTTCTATTTAAGAAATAGAAAACATTTTCCGTGTTTCTATACAGTTATAGAAACACGCGTGAGAGTTTGGGGGAACGAGATATAATCACGTTATTCAGTTCGAGTTCTCCCAAACTCCCACCTATAACTGTATTGAAACACAGGAAAAAATGTTTTCTATTTCTTTTACAATATAACTCGATAAAAAGATTTTGTACAAATATTATAATTCGATTCAAATTCTCATAACATCGCTTCACTTGTCAAGTTCGGCGGGAAAATTCCCGTGTTTCTATACAGTTATAGAAACACGCTTCTCGCCCAATCAGCACGCGCGTACTATAAATGTTATATTATAAATTTCTTTTCATCTTTTAGGCGGCCCTGGGACCTGGCTTAGTATTCATAGCATTTTCAGATGCGATCCGCAGCATGCCTGCTGCACCAGTCTGGTCTGTCATGTTCTTTCTCATGTGTTTAACGCTTGGAATAGACAGCCTTTTTGGAGGACTGGAAAGTGTTTCTGCTTCCCTGGCTGACTTGAAAAGGTTGTCCAAAGTCAGAATTGAGTACATATCAGGTGCGTCAGCTTTCTCAAAAGAAATTGCTTTCACCATCAGAGTTCATTTTGGCTGTTTAATTCCATAGCAAGTTCATAAAGTAATTTAAATCCATAATTTTATTCCATCGCATTAATTCATTCTAATCCATAGATTCATTCTAATCCATAGATTTATTCCAATCCATAGTTTCATCCCAATCCCGCCATAGATTCATGCCATGCTAAATCATAGTTTCATTTTAATCCATAGTTTCATTCTATTCCATAGATTCATTCAAATCCATAGTTTCGTTCCAATCCAAGTTTCATTCTAATCCAAAAATTCATACTAATTTATAGTTTCATTCTAATCCAAAAATTTATACTAATTTATAGTTTCATTCTAATCCAAAATTCATACTAATTTATAGTTTCATTCTAATCCAAAAATTTATACTAATTTATAGTTTCATTCTAATCCAAAAATTCATACTAATTTATAGTTTCATTCTAATCCAAAAATTCATACTAATTTATAGTTTCATTCTAATCCAAAAATTCATACTAATTTATAGTTTCATTCTAATCCAAAGCTTCACTCCAAATCCATAGCTTGCGCTGGAACTCAGAAAGGCCTTGGCTTCAGTCATTCTAATGTTTTAAAATCTATTTGATTCCCTCAGGAGGTATCTGTATCACATGTTTTCTACTGGGTCTGTCAATGGTACAAGATTCTGGTAGTTATGTCGTGCAATTGTTTGACAAATTCTCAGCTAATATGTCCCTACTGGTCATTGCAATTTGTGAATTTGTATCGGTCACCTGGTTCTACGGATACAAAAGGTTTGCGAAGAACTATTATTATTAATAGTCGCCATAATGTCATATTAAAAAGCAGTTCTTTTGCCATGTCCATATCAGTATAGTTTCATCTTATGCCCTGGGCAAACTAGGTTGAAATTTAAAATTGCCCATTTCTTTCCAGATTCAGTGAAGACATACGTTTTATGAACGGCTCGCCACCAGGAATTTGGTGGAAAGCATGCTGGATGGTCATATCGCCTTGTTTAATTCTGGCCATCCTTATTTCATCATTTGTTTCCATGACGAAGGAACCCATGACGTACGATGCCAGGACCAGAAAAGTAAGACCCATATGAAACAGATTAACCTCACCAGAGTACAAAACTCAGTTCACGTCTTCTCACAAGCAATACCGTTGATCGTTATCTACTATAACAACCATCATGTGCTTTTTATTGATGCATGGGTTTCATTACATTAGCACCTGTGATTTAATCACAGATGTTCAGAGAATTAATGATGACAACAGTTAGTCACTTATGTTGTCCTTCCCTATACCACCCGTGCTACCATCTATGATCAATGTCTCGAGCAATCGATCAAGAAGTCGAGATCTAATCCGTAGACAATAAATATATTGAATTGTTTCGATTGAATATTTAGATGAACATTTGAATCCATCCAGGAAATCCATTTCATTTGTCCTATCTAATACTTTGCTCATTTCTTAAATTGTTTCGAAATTTTATTTCGCAAATTTTTATTGAATCACGCATATAGGGTAGACAGGGATAGAAGATGAATTATGGGATTTGTGGGGATAAAAAAATGATAAAGAAGATAAATTATTAACATGCGTGCACGTTTCTTTAGGGTATGATGACAGGTTTACAATTTCCGCCTTGGGCAGTATTTATTGGCATTGCAATGACATTAATCTCCATTCTATTAATTCCATTGGTCGCCATATTACAATACTTTGGTTGGGCAACGTGGCGTACCTGGGAAAATCCGCTGTCCATGGACAGCCCGACGCATGCAGCACAAACATTGATTGTAAACGAAAAGGACGCGGAGGCAAATGGAAATTACCATGAAATGAATGGAAACACGAAGCAAAATCATCATCTGGTAGAAACGTATTTTTAAATCACTGTTTAAAACACTTAGACATTAAACCGAGAGGTTGCCAATCTAAAGACATGCTTGGCTTGTCTTGGAACGAAATTAAATAGTGCAAAAAGTGAAAGTGCAAATCGTAATAGTGGGTCTAATTCGCTGAAATAAAGATGGTGGTATGTCGATTTGCCTGAAAACGAATCAGAACTGCCCATAGGTATATCGACTGCTGCTTTTTTTTAGCCCATTTACACTATATACAGTTAATGTATTGGCACAGCACGGCTAAAATTGGTACCCGTATGCAATTTCATTAGTGATCAGGCTACCAATACAAAGGCCTGGGGCTGGTTGTATGAAACTCTTAATTACATTTTGCGTAGTTAAATCGCAGTTAGCTCAGAAATTCAGCACTCTGATTTGCCAATTCTGCCACTAACTATAAGTTTAAAGTTAACTACCTTTCTATACAACCGGCCCCTGGTACGAATAAATTGGGCCCGGGTATCTATCTTAGACTTGCTCTGCTGATAACGGGGCTTTTTTGTTACCTCGAATCAGGCCTCTGCAATTTCGGACAAAACAGATTACATAACGTACAGATGTTTAATCTCGCAATGAACGTCTTGGTGGAATCAAAGTAAAGATTTCAATAATTTCTGGCCGAATATCTGCGAGGATAAACATCTGGTGTGTTATTTATTCTGGGTCGATGTAATTCCAATAATTAGTAAGATATCTCATTATGCCAGACAACGAACCACAGCCTTGTCTATTTATTTCAACATTTTGTTCACAATGACTATAATGTATCCTTTTGAGAAGCCCAATTTAATCGGCCAAAATATCCCATTGTTATTTATTAAAAGTTACGTCATGCACGTGTCGACCATTTCAAAACGATTTAACAATGGTGAAAATTCTACATACAAACAGACAAATTGTCTGATGATATGTATCTACTTGGATTTGAGGCCTGATGGGATAGCGTAATAATATTTTTTTAATAATTTTACACGTTTTCATTTTCCCGTAGTCATACTATCGACCATTTATAGCGATTGCACCAACATTTTTATTTTAAGAAAGTCTCAAAAACCAGCGTTTACTTGTTGATATTAGAGACTTTTAGCTTACCAAATATGACAAACCGCGAACAGCAAACGGCTAATTTCAAATAACATTTAAAATTTTGATTTTTGGCACTTTCTCGGCCACAATTTGTCTCAGTAGTTACTCTACGTTTAAAAATAATGCACCAATTTTCTCGGCCTCAGAAACCTAGCATTTGTTTTGAAAATTCGAAATGAATTTTTTGTTTGTTTTTCGTTAGAGGGTTGTCGTAAACGTCAAGCTAAAGCTCACCGTATTCAAAAACTTGTTGTTAGTTTGTATCATGTTTCATATCAATCTTAGAGTCGTGCAATGATAGCGACGCCTAAGTGTTACAATATCCATTGCATCATGAGATTAGTGAATTTAATTGATATCTTCGGGGGTGGTAATCCCAGGTCCAGAATCCACGAATATAATCTAATCCCTAGTATTAGTATTAGTAATAGTAAGGGTTTAAGCCATGATTAAGGTTGGTGTTATATTGGTGGATTCTGAACACGTAATTATTACCTCTTTGGGACCCGTGCTCAAGATCCGGAACACGAGGATTGAACGTAATCGGGCAAGGGAATTCGGATTCCAGGGATTCGGAAATACTAATCCGGAATCCAAAAACAGATCTTTAGCACAGTGGAAGTTTAGAACAGTGAAACTTTTTATTAAGTTCATATTGTATTCCTCTGCTCCTGTCTACAGGTCTTTTAAGAACCAATTCTTAAGTTGAATCACAAAACAAAACATTGTTGTATAGGATAGTTTCGGTATATTTGTTATTACTGTTAAATATCATATATTTATTATTGATTGTACTATGTTACAAATACGCGTGAAAGAGAAATAAAGTACTATTTTCGTATAGTAACCGAACGAGGAGATTTATGTCTATTTACTATTATATAAGTATCAAACCATGATTATATTAATATAATATATTATAAAATAACATTTATAGTACGCGCGTGCTGATTGGTCGAGAAGCGTGTTTCTATAACTGTATAGAAACACGGGAGTTTTCCCGCCGAACTTGACAAGCGAAGCGATGTAATGAGAATTTGTAATTGAATCGAATTATAATATTTGTTCGAATTATAAAATCTTTTTATTGAGTTATATTATAAAAGAATTAGAAAATATTTTTTCCTATGTTTCTATACAGTTACAGAAACTATTAAAGAAAAATAGGAAAATCTCAACTGACCTACTCTCACATTACCCAATCTATTCGGTCTTCCCTTGTATTCTATGGAATAAGTAAACAGACAGAATTTTCAAATCGATTATTTCGAATGACATATTTGTTTAAGAGGTTGTACTTGAAATCAGAAAGTGTTTACTACCGGTTGTGTAAAACACATTAAAACTATGTCTAAAACCTCTTGCAGGTGGCTGCATGTCGTTCCAATTTATTACTATATCTATTATGTAATTTGCATTCCGCCATTCCTTGGAAGAGCGCCTATTCCGAGTAAGCTATTAATTATTAAACTCTCCCTGTTTATGAGACTGAAAGCAACGCTTTTTATTGCTTTATATCAATAAAAAACGCGAGCAAAACAATATATGTGAACAGTAGTAAAAGAATGACTCGATTCTGGCAGGAAAAACACCATGTCTGAGTATAATTATGGCTGAGGGTTACGACACAACACGGTTTCGTTCAACTGTTGACGACGGCTTCATCTGCTGTATCTGCCTTGGTGTTTTAAAAGATCCTATGCAATGTGAGAATAACGAACATTATTTTTGTTCCTGTTGTATCAAGAAACACCTTGAAAAGACCTCGCAGAGTTGTCCAGTCTGTCAAGATAAACTGACTGTTGAGACATTGCGAAAAGCTCCAAGAATTGTCGCCTATTGCGTTTCACGTTATAAGATCGATTGTGATAACAAAGAGAGAGGCTGTGACGCTGTACTTGAGCTCGGAGCGCTGAAGAAACACGTTGAGAACTGTGAGTTCGCGCCAGTCTTCTGTTCCAACAAGGGATGCAATGATGTTGTCAATGAACGCGACGTCAAGAGACACGAGCTCGAGTTATGTCGCTTCAAGGCAGCTACGTGTGTCGTCTGTGGCAAGAAGATGCCTCAACACGAATATGATGCGCATGGCTGCGTATTACGACGAAATTTAAAAAAAATTAAGAAAGATTTGGTGGACATGAGAGCCACACAACATGAAGTGCTAAATGAGATGAGACAAATGACCGCTGCAATGAAAAATCTCGAAAAATCTTGTCGAAAAGTAGGCGATGTTCTCAATACCCGGAACATTGATATTGTTGTTATTGGTGGTGAGGATGCTGAATCTCAGCCTCTTTCTTCTGTTGAGCGATTCAATTTGTTTAATCAAACCTGGACTTCACTGGGTGAGTTGAAAATAGGGCGATGTTTATTTGCAGCAGTTCTTTTCGAGAATCAGATATTTGTTTGTGGTGGATGTACCAGCGACATCTTAAAAGACACTACAGATACCATAGAAGTACTAGATCTGAAAGGAAACACCCCAGAATGGAAGGAGTTTGCCGCCAATATGCCTATAAAGGTGGCTGGTCACCAGTGCGTCATCCATGGCAATAGCTTGCTGATTATTGGCGGTTGCACAAATGGTGAAAAGGGTCTGGATACAATATACGAGCTGCTTCTTGTTCCACCTTATTCTTCCAAGTTGCTGTGTCATATGAAGAAGAAACGAGCTCTCCATAAAGTACAGTTATTTGATAATAAAGTCCTAATCGCTGGTGGTGTTAACGATGACAAAGGAACGGAATCTAGCGTGGAAATATTCGACATAACAAGAAACAAATGCATTGGAATGCCACCATTACCATCTCCTGTTTCTTCTATGGCGACAGTTCGCCGTGGTGACGGCATGCTGTTGATTGGAGGGTTGGACGCAGAAAACAACGTCCGTAAAGAGATCATTGAGTACGATTTCAAAACTGGTCGGAGTAAAGTTCTATTGACAATGGAAACAAAGCAAAATTGTTGTTGCGCTGTTTGTCATGAAAACACAGTTTTTGTTTTTGGTGCTACGAAGGACGACGATCAGTTCGTGCGTTGTCTTAACTTTTTAACTAATTCTTGGAATAAATTGCCTGCAATGGCAGAGGCGAGAATTTCCGCTTCTGCAGTTATTGTGGAAAAGAAAAATTTAAACTTTTGACATTCGTTTGACATAAAGGAAAAACACGTATATGAACAATAAATACTTATTACTACCTCAACAAATTTTCCCAATAATGCAAATTTGCAAAAGAAAATGTTATTAATTAATGCATTGTGTTGCACAGATTTAGAAAGTTTTTTTTAAAAAATCTATAAAATCGTAATAAAAGACAGTTTCTCAATAAATGTAAGTAATGATAATCAGTAGGAAAATAATCAATAAGCAATGCAAATGTGTATTAGGGCTGTGAATGCTCTGGTTTACAAAAACTGCCTCGCCGCCGCCGCTGGATTAAACAGCTATACGCACGGTGATATTGCATTCTCTAAAATAAGGCACAATCTTTGGGTGTGATTAATGATCATCACGCGAACCTCTCGACTGGTCTTTCTGAATTCTGCGAAATTACTTATTTTAATTTGTATCATGTTTGGAATCAATCTTAGAGTCGTGCAATGATAGCGACGTCGATAGGGTATTTCTCTCTGGTATGGTTATCCAGCAGTTCATAATTCTGGCTATATTTTGATAGGTTTGTTTCAACATCTAGTGCTTCATGACATCAAAGAGTGTAATCAATATCTTCGCAGGTGATAATCCCAAGTCCAGAATCCACTAATATAATCCAGAATTTAATCCACAGTGTTAGTAGTTTGGAATGGATTAGGGTCAGGGAAAGGAGTCAGGTTTATGATTAAGTTACTGAATTGGTACCTGTTTGAGATCTGAGTTCCAAAATGTTAAATCCGGAATCCGAGGGGATTGATATCGTAATCGGGCAAGGAAATACGGATTCGAAGAATTTGGAAATTATAATCCGCAATCCAAAAAGAAGATCGTTAGCTCAGTGGAATTCAGACTTGAGGTTTTAGAAAACACATTGATCTTCTTATAATAGTCATTGCCTTATTAGGTTCATACAATATTTATCTGCTCATATCAACACCTCTTTAACAACCAATTCTTAAGTTGAATCACAGAATAAAACATTGTTGACTTGTTGTATAGGATAGTTTCGTTATATTTGTTTTTACTGTCAAATTTCATACATTTATCATTTATTGAACTATGTTAAAATACGTGTGAAAGAGAAATAAAGTACTATTTTTGTATTGTAAACGAACGAGGAGATTTATTTCCGCAATTCTACCCTAGGAGTGAGTCAACGAACGGCTGCAAATTAATCATGGTAATAGAACGAATAGGAGTGCAATTAATGCCAAAATCATGAGTGTTTACAAGTGATTGCAAAGAATTAACTGGAAAAGGGTGCAATTAATTTATTATTATATAAGCATTGAAGCATAATTATATTATTAATATGATCATAAAGCAAGTACTCAAATGTTCGATGTTTTGAGCAAGAGGTTACCTAAAATATTTTCAAAATGCATTTAGAAAAACTCAAGAACCCAACGCATGAATTTGGAAGCAGATATAAGCAGTGTTACCATGCTGAAATCTAGTTGGAATCCCCCCTCCTGGCATATATTTGGTGGGGATGTTTATGACCAAATCCTGTCACACTGTAATTGGAAGCCATGAGTTTGAAACACAAGAAAAATCGGATAATTTCAGCTTACATACTGTCACATTGTACAATCTAATTTGGATCTTCGCGGGATTAAGCTATGGATTTGCCAGACGTGTTTGTGACGTATCCAAAGTAAATCGGCTGGATATCACGTATATATAGCTGTAACTAATATTAGTAAATGGAAAATAAAAGCAAAGTGATTTAAAATTTCATAAATAGTAGCAGTTCTCGAAGAGCCATCTGCTGCATCTATTTTGTCTTTCGATATCGCCTGCATAATATAAACGAAAAGTTTTTACTCAATAAATGTTAATATGTTCGATACGTAAAATAATATCCTGTAGTTATCCAATTGGTTGTCCAGCAATTCATAATTCTGGCTATATTTCGATAGGTTTGTTTCAACATCCAGTGCGTCATGAGATCAGAGAGTGTAATCGATATCTTCGCGGGTGATAATCCCAAGTCCAGAATCCACTAATATAATCCAGAATTTAATCCCTAGTGTTAGTAGTTGGGAATGGATTAGGGTCAGAGAAAGGAGTAAGGTTTATGATAAAGTTACTGAATTAGTACTTCTTTGGGATCTGTGTTCCAAGATGTTAAATCCAGAATCCGAGGGGATTGATATCGTAATCGGGCAAGGAAATACGGATTCGAAGAATTTGGAAATTGTAATCCGCAATCCAAAAAGCAGATCGTTACATTCGATAGCTCAGTGGAATTCAGTTGTTGTATAGGATTGTTGTATTGGATAGTTTCGTTATATTATAATTGGAAGCCATGAGATTGAAAGACAAGAAAAATAGGATAATCTCAGCTTACATACTCTCACACTGTCCAATCTAATTTGATCTTCGCGATTATATACAAGCTATGGCTTTGCAAGACGTATTCGTGACGTATTCAAAGTAAATCGGCTGGATAAGTGAAACATAAAAGCAAAGTGATTTAAAATTGCATCAGTTCTTGAAGAGCCATCTGCTGCATCTATTTTGTCTTTTGATATCGCCTGCATAATATAAACGAAAAGTTTTTACTCGATAATGTAAATATGTTCGATACGTAAAATAATATCCTGTAGTTATCCAAATATGGTTACAAAGGTTATGACCTCGCTTTCGCAATTTGCATTTCTTAGAAGATCAATTCTGCGTACAAATATCAAAGTACTCATGGTCACAAGACCAAAAGGAACGATTTTCATCGCTCTATTCTGCTATAATTTTGCATTAATGAAAAACTAACGTGTCCAAGACAATAATGTAAAGAAGAAAATGTAAAAAACCCCCATGTCTGAGTATTATTATGGCTGAGGGTTATGACCCAACTCGGTTTCGTTCAACTGTTGACGAGAGCTTCATCTGCTGTATCTGCCTTGGTGTTTTAAAAGATCCTATGCAATGTGAGAATAACGAACATTATTTTTGTTCCTGTTGTATCAAGAAACACCTTGAGAAGACCTCGCAAAGTTGTCCAGTCTGTCAAAATAAACTGACTGTTGAGACATTACGAAAAGCTCCAAGAATTGTCGCTGATTGCGTTTCACGTTATAAGATCAATTGTGATAACAAAGAGAGAGGCTGTGACGCTGAACTTGAGCTCGGAGCGCTGAAGAAACACGTTGAGAACTGTGAGTTCGCACAAGTCTCCTGTTCCAACAAGGGATGCAATGATGTGGTCAATAAACGCGACGTCAAGAGACACGAGCTCGAGTTATGTCGCTTCAAGGCAGCTACGTGTGTCGTCTGTGGCAAGAAGATGCCTCGACACGAATATGATGCGCATGGCTGCGTATTACGACGAGATTTAAACGAAATGAAGAAAGATTTGGCGGACATGAGAGCCACACAACATGAAGTGCTGAATGAGATAAGACGAATGACCGCTGCAATGAAAAATCTTGAAAATTCATGTCGAAATGTAAACGATGTTCTCAACACCAGGAACACTAATATTGTTGTTATTGGTGGTGTGTGTCCTCAATCTCAGTCTCTTTTTTCTGTTGAGCAATTCAATTTGTTTAACCAAACCTGGACTCCACTGGGTGAGTTGAAAATCGGACGACATTTATCTGCAGCAGTACTTTTCGAGAACCAGATATTAGTTTGTGGTGGATGTACCAGACACGTCTTAAAAGATACTACAGATACCATAGAAGTATTAGATCTGAAAGGAAACGCCCCAGAATGGAAGAAGTTTCCTGCCAATATGCCTATAAAGGTGGCTGGTCACAAGTGCGTCGTTCATGGCAATAGCTTGCTGATTATTGGCGGTTTCACAGATGATGAAACAAATCTGGATACGATCTACGAGCTGCTCCTTGTCCCACCTTATTCGTCCAAGTTGCTTGGTCACATGAGAAAGAAACGAGCTGGTCATGGCGTGGAGTTATTTGATAATAAAGTCCTAATCGCTGGTGGAGTTAACAATGAAGAAGTGGAATCCAGCGTTGAAATATTCGACATAACAAGAAACGAATGTATCGAAATGCCACCATTACCATCTCCTGTTACTTTTATGGCGACAGTTCGCCGCGGCGACAGCATGCTTTTAATCAGAGGACTGGACAAAACACGTAACGCCAGCAAATTGTTCATCGAGTACGATGTCAAAACTGGTCAGAGTAAAGTTTTATTATCCATGGAATCGGAGGCAATTGATTGTTGCGCTGTTTGCCATGAAAATACGCTTTTTGTAATTAGTCTTACAAAGGACGATACGCAATTCGTGAATTCTTTCAACTTTCTATCAAATTCTTGGAAATAATTACCTTTACCAGCAGAGAAACGAGGTTTCGCTTTGGCAGTTCTTCTGGAGTAAGGATTTTTTTACACAATTCAGCTTGACATTGACTAATGAAAAATACATATTGCCATTAAGAAATACGCCTTAATGTATTGAAAAGTGTAACAAGACATTTTCCTAATAAAAATAAACCAAGTGAATTTACATATCAACTAGGATTACCTTTTTTTCGGAATGTGCTCAAGTATCTGCAAGGTTTCTGCGATTTAAGAGCCTTTTTTCCTATATTTCCCGTGCGTAATTTAGAAACTTCATACTTTAATAGGAATGCCTTTTCTAGTAGCTACATGTGATATTATTATTCTTTTTGAAGAAAACCTGGCATTTCAAAAATGAAAAAACATTTTCGTTTGGAAACTGTACTTGATCTTTAAAACAATTGGATTTGTATATTAAGCATTACACATTTAAAAATTACGCTCGCCAGAAATTTTCTTCACATTCCCAAAATTAATTTATAAAATACCACTTGAATGAGATTATTATGTCTACGTCCCGTGACCGTGCCTGTTAGGCCAGTTAGGGTGTATACAGTTTTACTTTAAAAGCGCTTCACATGAGTCATGTGTCCGTTGATGGATGATTTAGTTAATGCATACAACATTTAAAATATTTCATAATAATGAAAAACCCGAATACTCGAGGGATTAGAAACTAATCAGTTTTAATCGGTTTCAATGCACAAGTTAATTGCTTGCGCGGGAATTTATTCACGATATCTCACAACCATTGAGGGGGTGTTTACATGAGCCCGGTTACGCGAGATTCAACGAAGTGTGAGATGATTTTGAGGTATTGAAATAAGCAGGTAACATGATCCTGGCAGTCGTATAATCACCACAACAATAGATCCTGGGAACAAGGAGATCAGTGGAACAAGGTTGTAGCATGTGCTTGTTTGGTGTGATAAAGACTTATTTCAATACTTTATAGTCCTCTCACGCTTCGTCGAATTTCGGATAACCGGGCTCATGTATAAACAGCCCTTAAACTGATATATCTATATATATACCTGGAATGCCTGCTTGTGCACTTATAATAAGCGACGAGCGTGGCACGTCAATTCAGATCTGCTGACGAATTTGAGAGTAAATGCCAGAAATGCAGTCAGCAGTACTGGTCAGTGGTCGACTTCATGAGCACACACTCTCATAATTGCCGAAAACAGAGTACCTAAAAGCACAAAAGAAGCGAAAAAATTAGGCCTAAATAATTCTCAAGGTAAAAACTACTTTCTAGAACGTTTTTTAACAAAACTGTCGAGATATTTGTTTACGTTTGTAAAACATGTATTTTCTACAACAGATTCGCTTTCTCACTAAATCACCTTTGATAAACTAAAACAATTATTCACCCCTGGCTCGGTGAATATCACCGAACAAAAACCTCGACTTCGTCTTCGTCTTATTCGCGATATTCACCTTGCCTTCTGTCGTATAGTATATTTAGAAATGACGGACACGTGAACAGCGCATGCATATGATTAAGATAAGGCTTGGGAAAATAACATTAGTATTGTAAGCGAGGAGTAGAAACATAAAATAAAAACTTTACTAGAAAATTACATCGATTTAAATCATCAAGTTACGACATTTGGCGACGAGAAAAGAAGAATGCCACCGCCTGAACCACCAACAGACGCTACAACGTCTCAGCAAAGCGAAAGCAGTCCAGAATTACAGGCAATTCAGCAAGCAATTGGTTCGTTGAACACGGGAGCCCCTCGAAGCGGCTTACCACCTTTTGCACCGTTTGACCCCCATAAAGACCGCTCTACAGTGGGACAACGCTGGAGAAAATGGATCAAACGATTTGAAAACTTACTTATCAGTTTACGCGAATTCGATTCGAAAGTAAAACGTGGTTTACTTCTCACTTATGTCGGCGAAACAACGAATGATATTTTCGACACACTGCCTGAAACCGGAGACGAGTACGAAACCGCCGTGTCCAAATTAACCGAGTATTTCGAACCTACAAGCAACACAGACATGGCTATCTTTGAGTTTCGCGAAATGAAGCAAGAACAAGGAGAGACCCTAAATGCCTTTTATCGTCGATTAAGAGAAAAAGCAAAATCCTGCGAGTTTCATGACGAAGATCGCGAAATCAAGACGCACATTATTCATAAAACAACTGATTCAAGATTACGTCGTAAAGCTCTACGCGAAACTATGACACTCCAAGCTCTTTTAACGTACGGAAACACATTGGAAAAGACGGATATTGACTCCAAGAAGATCGAACGCACACAAGGAAGCGAATCCGGAGCAACGGTGAATCAAGCATATTCCCTTCAAAAAAAAACAACGTCAACGACATCAACGACCCCGTTATTATAATCCTCACACTCAAGGTCAACACAAGAAACAACAGTATGAGTATAACCCGCGAAAATCATCAAATAAACAATGCAGGAATTGTGGAGGACAATTTCCACACGAAGGAGGCAAAACAAATTGCCCCGCACACGGAAAAACCTGTCACAAATGCCAGAAAATCGGTCATTTCGCCAAGCATTGTTTGTCAACCCCGATAGAAGATCCAGCAAAAATTCGACAGCTCCAAACAGAAGCGAGGTCATCTTCTGAAGATTCTGATGAAGAATTCATCTTTAACATGACAAACTCACAAAAAGCACCCACAGTCACAGTTCAGATTGAAAACATCCCAGTACGACTAATCGTTGACTCAGGTTCATCTGTGAATCTAATTAACAACAGCACTTTTAAACAATTGCAAGCTAAGAATAAAAGCATCAAGCTATCACCATCAAAGACCAAAGTTTTCCCGTATGGAAGCACCTCACCAATCGAAATGGAAGGGCAGTTTGATATCACCGTGCACTGTAAACAGCACACAACCAACGCAACATTTCAAGTCACCAAGTCTGAAACACAGAATTTGCTCAGCTACAAAACATCCACTGAACTTGGTATATTAACAATCGAAGTGAACAACCTGGCAACAAACGGTGATATTCCACCAGAAATCGAGGCACTAATTCAGAAACACCAACCATTATTCACAGGAACTGGTCATCTAAAGAACTGTGAAATCAAGCTCGAAATCGATGAGACAATCACGCCTATTGCACAGTCAGCTCGACGAATCCCACACAGCATGAAACAAGTTGTGAACAAGAAGCTAGAAGAAATGCGCCAACAAGGCATAATAGAAAAGATCGAAGGTGCAACACCATGGTTATCACCCCTTGTTGTCATTCCAAAGAAATGTGGTGATGTTCGTTTAGTTGTCGACATGAAAAAGCAAATACAGCCCTCAAACGAAGACGTATCCAAATTCCAACCGTAAATGAAATCCTACAGAAGATGCAAGGAGCCACAGTTTTTACAGAACTCGACCTATCACAGGGATACCTTCAACTATCTCTCGCACCTGAATCCCGTTTCATCACAGCGTTTCCAACCCCTGACGACGGTCCTCACCAGTTCACCCGGCTCGTCATGGGAGCTTGCCCATCTAGCGAGTACTTCCACGAAAAGATTCACGAGCTCATAAGAGGAATTCCTAACTGCGAAAACATCTCGGATAACATCTGGCTTTGGTCAAAGGACCTGTCAACCCACATGGCTCACCTTGAAAGGTTATTCACCACCCTACAGTCCAGCGGATTAACACTCAAGTTTCCAAAGTGCTCCTTTGCCCAGCCAGAGATCAACGTTTTTGGACACATTGTGTCTGCTAAAGGGATCCGACCTGACCCGAAAAAGATTGAGGCAATTGCACAAGCTCCACATCCGAAATGCGCATCTGAAGTTCGTTCTTTCATTGGCTTAACGAACTATTGCTCACGCTATATTCCAGATTATAGCACCATCACCCAACCGCTGCGAAAGCTCACCAAATCGAATATTCCCTTTGAATGGAACAAAGAACAAGAAAGAGCATTCCAACAACTCAAAGCCATCATCAACACCGCACCTGTTTTAGCCCATTATGATCTGAACGCACCAACCAAGCTGGTAGTTGATGCTTCTCCTTGGGCAGTTGGCGCCATACTCCTACAACAACAACCTGACACCAACTACCGTCCAGTCGCTTATGGAAGCCGTTCACTCACCACTACGGAAGTCAAGTATGGTCACATCGAAAAGGAAGCTCTCGCACTCGTATTCCGATGTGAACATTTTCACATGTACCTGTTTGGCAGAAAATTTGAGCTTGAAGCTGACCATAAACCCCTTGAATATATCTTCCAGCCTAAATCAAGTAAACCACCTCCAGCTCGCATCGAGAGATGGCAACTTCGATTGCAAGAATACGATTTCGAAATTGTATACCGTCCAGGTCCTCAAAACCTAGCAGATTCCCTATCAAGATTGACACCAAAACAACCACCATCAAAGCGCGACAACAGTGCCGACAGATATGTTAACCTTATCGCCCAACACATGTCACCTCGAGCAATCGACACAGAAGAAATTCGCTCAGCTTCTATCCATGACCCAGAACTGCAGCTTGTTCGAAAATGCATCACTGAAAATACCCCATACAAACTCCCCAGTAGTTTTAAAGGCGTAGCTAGCGAGCTATGCGTGGCAAACGACATCGTTCTCCGTGGAACTCGAATAGTTCTTCCAAACGAATTGCGCACGAAAGCCATCACAGCAGCTCACGAGGATCACGCAGGAATCACCCGTTGCAAACATCGACTCAGATCAAAGTTATGGTGGCCTGGTATGGATAAAGACGTAGAGACACTCGTTAAACGCTGTCACCCTTGTCAAGTAACTGGCCAACCAACCAAACCAACCCCACTCAACTCAACTCCACTACCGAGTGGCCCCTGGGAATATCTAGCCCTCGACATCTGTGGTCCATTTCCAACCGGAGACTATGCATTAGTCTTGATCGATTACTACTCTCGATGGGTCGAAGTAGAAGTTGTTACGACCACCACATCAGCAAGAATCCTCAAATGGTTAGATTCTGTGTTTGCCACTCACGGTTATCCCGTCACACTGCAAACCGATAAAGCAACCTACTCCACCTCTGTGGAATTCAGAAATACCCTCAAGGATTGGGGAATCAAACCACGTACAGTCAATGAATACTGGCCCCAGGCGAATGGATTAGTGGAACGATTCAACCAGATCCTTCTGAAGTTTATCCAAACCGCCTTAGTTGAAGGAAAGAATTGGAAGGAATCCATTCCGATAATGCTTCGAAACTATCGCACAACCCCCCATCGCACAACAGGGAAAACACCAGCATTACTTCTAATGAACCGAGAGTTGCGAACCAAGATACCTAGTATCCAACAACCACCCAGCAACCCACTTGCCAGTGAGATCAAGAAAACTGATGCAGTTTCGAAACGGAAGTCCAAAGTGCTAGCTGACAAGAAAAGAAGGGCCAAACCCCATCAATTTAAGAAAGGCGAATTGGTCCTATTAAAACAACCACATATCAATAAATTTTCAACAACGTTCAACCCGGACCCTCTCACAATAATCAGCATCAACGGCTCTCAGATTGTTATGCGAAGCAAAACCGGACAAATCTATCGCCGAAATTCATCTCATGTGAAAGAGTTTAATCAACCAAATGCGCCAACCGCAGAACAACCCAACGATGAAGACTTAGAAGATCTCATACCACCCTACAATTCAACTGGTGATGAGCAAGAAGCCCCACCGCAACCCTTACCACCAAACCCACCAGACCCACCTCTAAGAAGATCCACCAGGCAGAGGAAACCGCCAAACTATTTCAAGCATGAGTAAACGAATGAAAAACACTTTAGTCAGTGGCGTTTACACTCGTTAACATCTAACAATTGATATTTTTTTGAATAGTGAAACTTTCCAAAAAAGGGAGGGATGTCGTATAGTATATTTAGAAATGACGGACACGTGAACAGCGCATGCATATGATTAAGATAAGGCTTGGGAAAATAACATTAGTATTGTAAGCGAGGAGTAGAAACATAAAATAAAAACTTTACTAGAAAATTACATCGATTTAAATCATCAAGTTACGACACCTTCAAAAACCCCAGTAGCCCAAAAGTATTGGTGTCCAGTCTTATATTGCGATCCGTGTCGTGCACGTCACGTAAATTACTGATTTGTATTCGTGTGTCACAGACCTCAGTATGAAACTGGACTAAATACTCCATGAGCTACCTACCTAAAATAAAGTGCTTTTTAATCAAAGAATGTCAGGAATGTGAACAATGACATTGAGTATGACTTGTTATGGACTGATAACTTGGTTTAATCAGAGAAGACGCGATGTTTCTTGCGACTTCAAGCCGCGAAATGTGCCAAAACATTCGAGAATATGCCTAAAAAATACAATCAACAATTTTGGCAGCAGAAATGCTAATATTTCGTTCTGTTGTGTATCTGATTCATATTATTAATTGCTCATAACAATAGTGCATATATTCTTAAGGAAATTTACACAGAGAGTACTGAGAAGCGAATGGTAAAGTTTTAAAGACATAGTTTGAATGTATTAAATTTTTATGCAACCAGTATTCTTAATGAAAGCTTTCGGATTTGATATAAAACTGATTTGTATCCAAAATATAGGTAATCAAAAATTTCTTCTGTTTACTGTGTGTTTCGAAATAACGACACGCTGATTTCCTTTATGTTTTGCGACAAAATCATTATTAGACTAAAGAAATAGTTATCCATATATGGTTGCAATAGATGCCGCTCCAATTTATCGCTAGGAAATTTGCATTTCTTAGAAGACCAATTCTGGGTAAACTATCAAACTGCCCATGATCATGAAACAGTAAGGAGCGATATTTATCGCTAAATTCTGCTTTAAGTAAGCAAGACAATATGTGAAGAAGTTTTGCAAAAATGAATCAACTGTGTCGTGAAAAAGACCATGTTTGAGTATAATTATGGCTGAAGGTTACGACCCAACTCGGTTTCGCTCAACTATCGACGAGGGCTTCATCTGCTGTATCTGCCTTGGTGTTTTAAAAAATCCTATGCAATGTGAGAATAACGAACATTATTTTTGTTCCTGTTGTATCAAGAAACACCTTGAGAAGACCTCGCAGAGTTGTCCAGTCTGTCAAGATAAACTGACTGTTGAGACATTGCGAAAAGCTCCAAGAATTGTCGCTGATTGCGTTTCACGTTATAAGATCAATTGTGATCACAAAGAGAGAGGCTGTGACGCTGTACTTGAGCTCGGAGCCCTGAAGAAACACGTTGAGAACTGTGAGTTCGCGCCAGTCTCCTGTTCCAACAAGGGATGCAATGACGTGGTCAATAAACGCGATGTCAAGAGACACGAGCTCGAGTTATGTCGCTTCAAGGCAGCTACGTGTGTCGTCTGTGGCAAGAAGATGCCTCGACACGAATATGATGCGCATGGCTGCGTATTACGACGAGATTTAAACGAAATGAAGAAAGATTTGGCGGATACAAGAGCCACACAACATGAATTGGTGAATGGGATGAGACATGTGACCGCTGCATTGAAAAATCTCGAAAAATCCTATCGAAAAGTAGGCGATGTTCTTAACACCAGAAACATTGATATTGTTGTTATTGGTGGTATGGGTCCTGAATCAAAGTCTCTTTCTTCTGTTGAGCGATTCAATTTGTTCAACCAAACCTGGACTCCACTGGGTGAGTTAGAAATAGGGCGATGTTTATCTGCAGCAGTTCTTTACGAGAACCAGATATTTGTTTGTGGTGGATGTACCGGAGACGACTCAAAATATGCTACAGATACCATAGAAGTACTAGATCTGAAAGAAAACACCCCATATTGGAAGACGTTTGCTGCCAATATGCCCATAAAGGTGGCTGGTCACAAGTGCGTCGTCTATGGGAATAGTTTGCTGATTTTTGGCGGTTGCACAGACGATGAAACAAATCTGGATATGATCTACGAGCTGCTCCTTGTTCCACCTTATTCGTCCAAGTTGCTTGGTCACATGAAAAAGAAACGAGCTGGTCATGGCGTGGAGTTATTTGATAATAAAGTCCTAATCGCTGGTGGAGTTGGCAAAGGAACGGAATCTAGCGTGGAAATATTCGACATAACAAGAAACAAATGCATTGAAATGCCACCATTACCATCTCCTGTTTCTTCTATGGCGACAGTTCGCCGCGGTGACAGCATGCTGTTGATTGGAGGGTCGGACAAGGAAGATAACGACAGTAAAGAGATCATTGAGTACGATCACAAAACTGGCCAAAGTAAAGTTGTATTAACCATGGAAAAAGAGCAAATTCTTTGTTGCGCTGTTTGTCATGAAAACACACTTTTTGTTTTTGGTACTACGAGGGATGACAATAAAGCGGTGTATTGTTTCAACTTTTTATCTAATTCTTGGAGTAAATTGCCTGCAACGACAGAGACGAGAATCTCCGCTTCTGTAGTTATTGTGGAAAAGAAAAATTTAGCGGATTTTTGACACTCGTTTGACATAAAGGGAAAATATGTATGAACAATAAACACTTATTACTAGCAAAACAAATTTTCTCAATAATGTAAGTTAAGTAAATTTGCCAAAAAAAATGCCGATTAAGAAATTGTGTTTTACAGGATGTTTGATATATATCCATTAAACTGTAATAAAAGCTAGTTTCTCAAAATATGGAACCAATTATAATCAGTAGGCAATGATTGATAAACAATCCTTGAAAATGTGTTTAAAATCAAAATCAGAATCCAAAACCCTGGGTAGCCTAAACGTATTGGTGTCCAGTCTTATATTGCGATCCGTGTCAACGTACGTCACAAAAAATTCAGTGCAAAAATTATTGATTTTAAAGTATTCGTGCGTCATAGACCGCAGTATCAAACTGGATTAAATACTTTTGGGCTACCAAGAATAAAGCGCTTTTTAATCCAAGAATGTCAGGAATTTGAACAAAAGCACATTGAGTGTGACTTGTTATGTACTGATAACTTGGATTAATCAGAGAAGACGCGAAGTTTCTTAATTGCGACTTCAAGACGCTAAATATGCCAAAACATTGGAAAATATGACCTTCAAAATACAAATTTCGGCGTCTAGAATGCAAATATTTCTTCCTGTGGTGTATCTGATATAAATTACCAATTGAAAATTCATATTTTTTGCACTAAAAATAAAGCGACCAGTTCTGATACAGTTTGAATGTATTTATGCAACCAGTATTCAGTAATGAGAGGCTTTCGGATTCGATATACAACTTCTGAAACACATTTGTATCCAAAATAATTAATGAGAAGTTCCTTCTGTTTACTGCGTGTCTCAAAATAACGATACGGTGATGATTTTCTTTGTGTTTTGCAACCGAATAATTAGTATGTTGAGGAAATAGTTCTCCAAATATGGTTGCAATAATTATCGCTCTAATTTATCACTACGCAATTTAGATTTCTTAAAAGATAACGTGATAACTGCTCACCATGGTCATGAGTTAGTAAGGAGCGATCTTGAACGCTAAATTCCGCTTTACAAATTGATCAAGGCAGTATGTGAAGAGGCTGTGTAAGAGTGGCGCGATTGTGTGGTTGTGTCGTTAAAAAGACCTTGCCTGGTTATTATAATGGCAGAGGGTTACGACCCAACTCGGTTTCGTTCAACTATTGAGGGCTCCAAGTGCTGTATCTGCTTTGGTGTTTTAAAATATCCCATGCAATGTGAGAATAATAAACATTATTTTTGTTCCCGTTGCATCGAGGAATACATGGAGAAGACCTCGCACAGTTGTCCAGTCTGTGAGAAACTGACTGTTGAGACATTCTCAGAGGCACCGATAATTTTCGGTGATTCCCTTTCACGTTATAAGATCAATTGTGATAAGAAACACGTTGAGAACTGTGAGTTCACGCCAGTCTCCTATTCCAACAAGGGATGCAATGATGTGGTCAATAAACGCGACGTCAAGAGACACGAGCTCGACTTATGTCGCTTCAAGGCAGCTACGTGTGTCGTATGTGGCAAGAAGATGCCTCAACACGAATATGATGCGCATGGCTGCGTATTACGACGAGATTTAAACGAAGAAGCTACAAGAGACACACAGCATGAATTGGTGAATGGGGTGAGCCAAATGGCCGTTTCATTGGAAAATCTCGAAAAATCTTGTGGAAACGTTGGCGATGTTCCCGACACCAGGAACATTGATATTGTTGTTATTGGTGGTATGGGTCATGAATCTGAAATTCTCTCAACCGTTGAGCGATTCAACTTGTTTGACGAAACCTGGACTCCACTGGGTGAGTTGGAAATAGGGCGACTTTCATCTGCAGCGGTACTTTTCCAGAACCAGATAATCGTTTGTGGTGGAGCTATCAGTTCTAGCCTTGGTGATAGTACAGATACCATAGAAGTATTGGATTTGAAAGGAAATGCTAAAAAATGGGAGAAGTTTGCCGCAAATATGCCTATAAAGGTGGCTGGTCACCAGTGCGTCGTCCATGGCAATAATTTGCTGATTTTTGGCGGTTCCACTGCAGATAGTACTACTCTGGACACGATCTACGAGCTGCTCCTTGTTCCACCTTATTCGTCCAAGTTGCTTGGTCACATGAAAAAGAAGCGAGTTCTCCCTGGAGTGGAGTTATTTGAAGATAAGGTCCTAATCGCTGGTGGACTGAACGATGAAAAGGAAGTGGAATCTAGCGTGGAAATATTCGACATACCAAAAAACGAATGCATCGAAATGCCACCATTACCATCTCCTGTTTATGTGATGGCGACAGTTCGCCGAGGTGACAACATGCTGTTGATTGGTGGGCAGGGCGAAGAAGGTATCATAGTTGAAGAAATCGTTGAGTACGATCACAAAACTGGCCAAAGTAGATTCTTAACGTCCATGGAAACAAATGAAAGTTGTTGTTGCGCTGTTTGTCATGAAGACAAGCTGTTTGTTTTTGGTGCTGTGGTGGACGACGATGACGTGGTGTATTGTTTCAACTTTTTATCTAATTCTTGGAATAGATTACCTTCAATGGCGGAGCCGAGAATGGCCGCTTCTGCAGTTATTGTGGAAAAGAAAATAATAGATTTTTGACACTCGTTATCAAACGAAAATCATGTATCGTAGGAACAATATATACTAATTATTAAGTAAACGGATAGTTTTCCCAAAGCGCAAACTGATTGGTTTCGAGGGTTAAGGGTTGCTTAATCACTAATATCAATCAAAGCATGCGTTTAGTTTGTAACAACATAGTCAGCGAAAGTGACAAATTTATAGACGCTTTGGTCGACCGTAATGTGTTTATGCGATTGCCAATGGTTCAATGATTGGAATATTTCTGGTAAGAAGATGGGCAGCGAGGAAATAAGGAGTTGAAGGAAGGTTTAGTTCTACTAACTTCTATAGTGAATTACCAAATATGGAAATTGAGTTTTAAACGTCCATGATTATTTATTCACGAGGACATTTAGAACTAAATACCCCTGATCCCTGTAGAAATCCCTGTGGAAATAACGTGATTTAACGTCTATGTTAGAATAAATGAAACCTAGGCAACTGTGTTACTGATAGAAAAACAAACTTTCTCAACAATGTAGTCAAGTAATTTGCAAAAGAAACAGCTTATGAATGAATCGTGTTTTAGAAGAGGTTGGTTTGGAATATCCATAAAAATGTAATAAAAGCCAGTTCTCGATATATACGTATGTAAACAATTATAATCACTATAAAAACAAATTAATAAACAATGCATTTTCTAATATAAGACGTAGTCTTCAGGTGTAGTCATCCTTCACATGACCTTTAAATGTAACGGAAAACTTCGGGAACTTAAATTTAGCGATATTGAAGGATTTCCTAAGGTCGGTTGAACAGACGGTTGAACATTTCACTTTGCGTGATGTAGTTAAACTCACCTAAATTCACGTGCTGATAAATAGTAACATTACACGTCCGTTAAATACGTTACAAATTTTCTGTAGTGTAGTTTGATATTGCGACCCGTGTTGACGCGAACGAGGCTAATCTCGATCGCAACCAGAGCCCGCGATCCTTCAGGGAAAGAGTCGGGGGGGGGAGGGGTCGTGTCGCTACATCAAAAATGTTCAATATGTCACAGGCCTTTTTACACGAGCTTGGGATGACTGTCAGCTCGGGTTAACCTGTCTACGAAATGTTATATTTTCTAATATATGGTAAAAATGTTATAGTGATTGTAAAAGATTCGTGATTTTGACCTCAAATTTGAGAAAAATATCGTAAACAAGTAAGCAAAACTAAGTTTTTCTGAGGTTTTGCTTTCATCATCCAGTTATCTGGGTTCAAATATTTGATCCAGTGTTTTTACAAATCCAACTGCGTCATGACAGTCCTCATAGGAGGAGGAAGTGCATGGGGAAACAGAAAAACAGAAGAGGGACAAAAGACATACGCAATGACATACAATAATTACAGGTATTAAATTCGCAATTATTTATGACTGTGGTCTCAAGAGCTTTGATGCATGAGCATGAGTGAATTCTTAAAGCATCAACGTTTATTAGCATTTGTGTCATTAGTAATAAACGTTAATTTGCGACAATACCTTACAGACAGATATGCAGACTAAGGATGAAACGTGTTACGATAAGATTTCTGGATAAATTTCAATGTCGCGTGGTTTGGAATACGGCCATTAGTCATTCTCATGCTCTGCGTACGCCCGGCTTATGACCATGATTGCGGTCGGAAGTATTTCCAGACAGAAAAAATATTTGGTTTTGTCACGACGTGTTTTGTCTTCGATGACCTTCCTCTGTTCGCTTCCTCGTGATTTCTAGACAGAACAATTTGACAGCCTTATCAGCACATTATCGGCCGCACCTGAGAATTTTAAGCAAGAATTCAACAAACAACGGGCCGCGTGAAGGTCTGATCAGGAATTCACATGCATCATTTCTTAAAAGCACTTAAAATGTCATAAAGTCAAATGAACAGAATTCGTACGTTAAAAGTTCATGATTACATGTCAGTATTCCTTTAATGGTGTCGTGCTAAAATAGACCAAACAACAGGAGGCGTGGAGCGTGGGAACTGAGAAAGGTATCGTGTAACAAACCAGACAGCATGTGCCATGGCGGTCAGTCCAAATTCCCATTCACAAGATTTGCCATGTTTGCGGGCCGGAACAGTTTGGCGTATAAGAAACGATGGTTTTAAGGCGCATAACAAATCCTATATGCAGTTCCATACGGATAAGCCAAATGCTAAAACCACTGAAATCCTAATCCAAATGCTAGACCTAATCCTAAGGATAATCCTGGCCGTTTCCAGCTTATAATCGAGGAAAAATTGACAAATACAGTAACCTTGTATTTCAGTCGATTCAAACTTCAATCAGAATATATTTGCTGAAGATAAATACGATAGTTTAAGCGCTGAATTCTCTTCGAATCAATCTTAATTTATACTTGCCTAATCAATCCATAATCCCAATCCCAGCCGCGACTCTAATTCTGATTCAGAGAGTGACCAAGACCAATCCATTAATTCCAAGAAGAATTTTTTCAATAGGACTTTGATAAATCACCACGTAACGCCACGACCCTCGCTCCATTCTCGAGTTCTCCACTCGAAAGTGTTGAGCGCGTCAATCAATATTTATTTAACCTTATTCAACCTTGCCACTCCATTTCACTTAAACTATCAGCAGGCGGGGTATGGTATACACCTGGGCATGTTCAAATATCAAACATAGTTCGAAGTGAACCGTATCTCGCTCTGATCTATGCAAAACATGCTCGAAGGATACGAAGTTAGGTCGCTATCGACTGCACCGGACTATGCCAACGGCCAAGGAGGACTAAATTTTCAAACAAGCAAATCGTCGTGTGCGAAAATGAATCCGAGTTTGCACAAAGAGGATAGTCCTGACAGCGCGGCGTTCAACAGCTCAGAACAGTTACAACTAAACGAGCTTCACGAAGCGAAGATTCGCGCGGTTCAAATGGAGAAGACGATGCGCTGGTGGTCGGATTGCACGGCAAATTGGCGAGAGAAATGGGGGCAAGTGAAGAACGAGCGCAACAAAGCTAGGGACGATATTAAAGTCCTCAAACAGAGACTCGATGATGCCAACCATGAAATTTATCAGCTGAAACGAGAGAGGAACGAGTTCAGAGAAGGCAATACTCAACTTCGCAAAGACGTCGAAAAAATGGCCGCGGAGCTGAGGCGAGATCGACGCGCGTTTGTGCCGCCAATGAGGATCGTGGATGGCTCAAATATGCATCTCTCGAGCATGGTAAAATCCCAGACGGACGCGACAGAAATTTCACAAGATGAAAAGCCCCCAAAGGACGGCAGCATGGCAGCTTTAATAACTGACGCACAGGCTTTTGTTGAGATAACCAAAGCCCACGAAGCCGATAAGAAATTCTTGGATGTAGAGCAATCTTTAAATTCTGCTCAAGAACAGAATGCGGTGATGCTTGATGGTTGCAAGAAAACGAGAGAAGACGACAGTTTTTTGAGTGAAATGAAAAAAGAGTTGGAAAGTTTGAAAGAAAAGCTTCAAAATACCGAGTCCCAAGTCACAGAGGAAATACGGTAAGTGTTAAAGCTTGAACTTATTAAAAGGAGATATCATGATTATATCAGATGTAATGAGAAAATTTGGCATTCGTATTACAATGCTTATTAGTTCCGGGCTGTTGCGGTCAGCTTTTAGCGACGTCATATTACGAAGAATCATATAACTGTTTAATTGTACAAACTTGGCCGATGCGATTTCGGACAGAAAGCGTTATCAAGCATATGAAATGGTGCCCTGGAAATTTACCCTGGAAAACATGAATGTTGTTTTTAAACGCATATCGCTATTTTGTTTTGATAAAATGCCCAAAAGATTTAACAGATGAGAATGATAATTAAGATTAGCTTGGGAAACGTTTTCTCTGCGCAAAATGATACACTTGTGCCAGTGATGCATGCGCTTGCAACCGATTTATAGAGGAATAATCATTCTTCCGGCTTGACTTTTTATCTAGAATGTTTTTTATAGGAAAATTAGAAACACATTACTTCAAAAATTGAGCAACATTTGGTAAACCCAATCATTTCGAGCATCATAACAGGACAACAAGTTGTCGGTCTCATTCGGCTTCATTTCAAAATCCTATAAGCATGCACGGCAAACGTAAATTTGGTGTTTTGTCATCTTAAGTCTTGGGATTACAAGATGTACAGTTTTACGTATGTTTTGAATATTATATTTCACCATCACAAAGTATTTATGTCAAAGTTGCACGCCTGTTTACTTCAAACACGCCTTACATTATCGACTCTCATATTTCTCACAAGAGGCCATGACCTACCACCAGCAACGAGTGCCATTTCTCGCTATAAAACGAAGGCAATTTACCGATAAATATAATGAGGCCATAAAATTCAACAAGTTGCCTTATATGGGTTTGATGTTGACCTGATAAATATTCACGCATCGATTTTAGGTCGAAGGAAAATTTATCAAAAACAGTCGACAAACTCACAGCAGACATAGAAGATTTGAAAACTTCCCTTCTGGATGAAACGAATGCCAAGGAGAACGCAATAAACGAAGTAAGGAAGAAATAAATGTTTGTACATACGTTTAGTTTACAACTAAAGACATTCAAAAGTTGGCAAATTTCCCGATATGTTGATTCATGGTAATCTCAAGGTGTCTATATAGCTTTTTTTCTCAACGAATATGCTGGATGCATGCATGCATCTTTGAACTATATATAACAGTGAATTAGCTCTTTCGTGTCGCGCGTTCGATTTCAACATCTCGAATCCATTTTACACAATTACATATTTGTAAAGACTACCTGAGAGTGTGACCTTTTATGGACCGTATTTGTTACCTATAGAAGTACAATATATAATTATGAGAAATTTCGACATTTTATCGGAAAATTTTTGGGATACTTTACATTATATTTGTAAAAAAATATTCCTAAAATGATGAATATCAGTGATTATAAAGGCTAATCCCATGCATAAAAAATGTAGCAGTTCTAGTCTTCTAGACCATTGAATATAGCTATAGGGTACAAACCGTATTTGGGTTTTTTATGACTTTCATGCACTGTTCCCTTTGTATATCTTCAGTTGAATTGTTTAAAAGAAGAGTTGGAAAAGAAAGAAAATGAAAAAGCGAATGCAAGTAACGATAAGATTCCTAACGGAAACGTTCGTGTTGCCTACAGCACCAATAGCGTGGATAGAAAAGTCAAAGACCTTCGGCTAGAGGTAAATTTATTATAAAATAAACATCACATTAAGATTTGTCTCGTAGTCTTTCGTAATGCGAAAGATGACGGCCATTAAAAGATAAAAATTCATTTGCAAAGAAACTGAGCAAATATTGATTTCGTTATGACCTGTTTACTACCCTGAATTATATATTTTTACCTCCTGTTGTTCCAAAACCTGCTGTTCCGACAAAGCGGAAGAAGTGATAGCTATAATATGTATTTGCTTTCTATTAAAACAGAATTTTCCCTGCATATAATCCCGATTTACACCGGCAAAATCTTAATTAAATTGATAAGACAAACAATTAATGAACTTAATAAAAGTTTGCTTGCATTCAATCAATCTTTCGTATGAAGTTGTTTGTTTATGTCGCCGATTGTCCTAATTGAGATTGCTCTCCTCAATCGAAAGTGGCTTAACACAGTGTGAGATAAACTAATGTACACTTCGCCATGTCATACCGTCTTTGATGACAAGGACGCGTCTCGACTAAATCCCCCTAATGTTTATCTTCAGCTCATTTCTCGTGTTTCCCGTCTTTCTCAGATCGAGAGATTACAAAAAGACAATGCCTCAGAATGGAACAAACGCGAGAAATTAGAAACCCAAAAGTTAAATGCAGAAAGGGAAAATAAGAAACTTCGTCATCAAATAACGGTAATTAAAACTACATCTTACTGCTACGAGCGCTATAATGTTCTATGTTGCAACGGCAGATAGAGGCAGGAGTGCTTACCCCCTTCCCCTAAGAGGTGGAGGGGTGATGCATTGGAAGAATGATCTTAAAGTGGTAAATAATACCAGTGCATGTGGATTGAGCCACGTAACGGCCAGAATTCGATTCGACTATAGAATTCGACTAAGATTTCCACTCAGCATGTCGTTGCAAATTTAATATCATTAATTTCTATGAATCTTTTTATTGAAATCGCTATAAATAGTATATAAAGTTTAGCTTAATCTTGATAAACTGCCATAAACATAATTTTTGTTTCTCCTTATATTTATTCATTTGACCAATATCTGTAGTTATGTTGGTTTGTAAATCGTTTTTCAACTATACGGTTGAAAAAATCCGTTTGATAGCGCTATATCCCCCCGCTTTTGTACAAACGGCCCCATGATTCTCCATTCTTTGTCCCCGCCCGTTGCAGGACTTAAGCAATGAAATGAAGACGAAAGTGGATGAAATCACACAGGCTACCGATTTCAAACTAAAGCAAGTCCAAACAGAGCTTGAAGACAAGAAAAAGGTCAGCATGCTTCTATAGTACCTTGTTGTTCATGAAGTTTGCATGTATGTGAATACATAGCAAAGTAATGAATTAAAAAAAAATAGCAAACAATGCCATACACAGAAATTTTTTCAGGCTACCTAAAGTCAAGAGGGTTAAATTCTTTCTCACAGGCTATAGACGTTAAGTAGAATATCCCTCTTTATGAAAAAAAATAATTGAATTTCAGTTTTTAGCATGAAATTTTGAGGTCGAAGGTGATTACTGAAAAAACATTATTTCTACACTGTCCACAATTCCACTTGCTTCAGACCACACATGCAGGCATGCAGCTATTGAACTTATGGCGAGAGTTGCTGAATAGTTCTCTTCTATAATACTGAATACGGAAAAATTATGGAAATTTATCGTGTAGGGTGGTCTATATCTAGAGCAAAGTTTTGTTTCAACCACTTTATGGATAAGCCACTTAGGTCTATATGTACAGCTGAATTGATCGTGCACTGGATACAGTTACCCATTAAAAACATAGCCGGAGTAACTGAACTTCCGGAGATCCAATTTAAGAGAATTTTCACATCACGCGAACCCAAGGGTGGGTTTTTCTGAGTGTAATTTGATGGTTAAGTGCTCTGTTTTTATCAGATCTCAAAATACTTGGCTTATGAAGACGTTTGGGGTCAACTAAAGTGCATTAATTCTGGCTTCATTTTTGATTTGCAATATCAAGCTTATTATCAAATCATGATAAGTTACCTAATATACAAGTTAATCGTCTATTTCTTGAACACACCATATATATAGGAGCTGGCTGATTTAAAACTGGCTCACATGAAGTTAAAAAAAGTTTACCAAGACAAAGTAAGTCCATGCAGATAACCTCCATTCATTCTATGCGACATTATCGCATTGAAGCTAGGCCACGATATTTGAGTGAAAAGATTTTTGTCTAACCAAAATAAACAACGCATTAATATTGAATGCCGTAGGGACTAGTTCTAGGGGGTGTAATGTTCAGAACACCACTTGCCGTGTGTTGAAAGTTGAAAGTTTCAAGGATTTACCTTACAGAAAGAAGATATTTTGCACAACAAGACACGGGTGGATCAACATGAAGATGAGATTAAAAAACTTCGCGGAAGAGTTGACGAACTCAAAATGAAACTAACCACAGCCGAAGACGAGGTTCCTTTTAGATTATAATAATGTATCTGACTCAAAATATAAAAAAAAATTACTATTTTCACCAAATTGGTTTAGGAGCTAAGAACGCGTTAGGATTGAAATTCAACTTTTTAAGAATACTTGAAACGATATATGGAGAGTTAAAAAATAAGATGTAAAAGTGCTTGGTCCAAAATTAACTTTTGACAATTATCTCTCATCATCATTAGAGTTTACGGTATAAGATTATGAAAAACTTGATGGATCCAGTACAAACATGCACATTGTTTTAAAACCAAACCACAGGCAAACATATAGATTTCTTATATGCTAACCATAAGCAATGGCTGCTGGGTTCACAGTATTTAATTGTCTGATACATCACGACATTTGTAATTAACAGGTTGACCAAAAAGAAAATTTATCTCGAAAATTACAGAGACAATTGGACGATCAAACCCAACAATGTCACGTGCTTCGAGTCCAGATGGAACATTTACAGTCCAGGTAAAAAGATGAACATAATAAATGTTTGTGACCTACTAAACCAGTCTGGAAACCTTTGCAAAAGATTTTTAATATCCGTTATAGGGAAATGAAGTCTATACAGATTTATAATATACTAGCTACTCACTGTATAGTTGAGCATTTTCGCTCGGTAATGTCTGATGATCGATATCACTGACTTATCGCTTTAAATCGACATGTAAATGTTCTTTATGAGAAGTGTTAATAAGGGGTGTTTTATCAGGTGTAATGAAAATGACCCAACATGGACAGTATGGGTGATTTGATAGGCTAAAACAGGTATAAACCTAGCTTACATGTAGCTATGTTACCTAGATTGCGGGTTGACTTCTTAGATTATTGTGAAACAATACATCGAAACGCCTGTTTACACTAGCTTGCGAATTTTGCTGCCACTTTACGTGAGATTTTCTTCTTTTGATGGATGTGAACAAGTGATCAGTTACAACTGCTCTGATATATAAGAGGTCTTATTTGAACATAACGAATTCACTCGTTTACATCTATCAAAAGAAGAGAATCGCACATAAAATCGCAGAAAAAATTGCAAGTGTAAACGCGCCTTTTGAGGAGGCGATTTCCCTATTTAAAACATGCCACGCAGCAGACCATCTTGCAGGAGTGCAAAGACCGAATAGAGAATTCATGACATTCATGACCATAAATGATGCACTAGGAGTCATGAGATTTAAAAGTGGGAACGTGAACGATGACGAAATCATTAAAATCGTGGTGAACTGGGTAATAAGTATATGTTCCGCAAATCATAATAACGCTAATTTACCTATTGGAAATGTACATTGCAGATGTAGCACGCGAGGAATTAGTACATTTCCCCCAAAAAACAGTCCACTATTTAAAATCACGACATGTACCACGTAGATATCCCAATGATTTGGCACCAATTTAACCTGACTAAGTTCCACTCACTACCCCACCTTTAAACAACCCTTCTCAAACGCTTTTTATATGTTTAGATGGACACAAATGACCAAATCATCACGAACACTAAAACGAGGCGACCGGCACAGCTGCACGGATGACGACGATTTACTGGAAATAGATCTATGAACTAAATTGAATTCTAAATCCTAAATTTGGCACATTTTTGTAAAGTTGGATGGGATATACTATACAAGATAGAAGCGATTATTTAGCATAATTTTAAAATTAGTTTTAGATAGGGCAATGTGAGGATCAGGCGAAAAGACCTGCGCCCAACAATGAGGAATTTCGTTTTCGCCAATCAGAAAATTTGTTTATGGCGATTAGTTAAAAACGAAATTTCTCATTGTTTCTGTGCGCGATTATATGATTGCTTTGAACACAAGAGTTTTTTGTGAAAAAGCGTAGGCCTGGAGTCGTACATTTTTTCTATAAAAACTGGATGTTGACGAAATAAAAGCAGCATTAAAAGCCATTATGTAATAGTTTTCTATTTTTTGATATTAAAACCAAACAGTTCCAATTCCTAACTGTCCTGTCTTGAGTGGTTTTTGCAAAAACATCTGGTAAAGAATGACATTGTCGTGTTTCAACACAAAAGTGTAAAATAATGTTTGTCTCTCGGCTGTGAGCAGGACTGAGAAAGTAAGCCGATTTAGGAGAAACTTGCTTTTTTTTTTGACAAAAGAAATGAACTGCGATTTGATATTTATCATTAAACATAAAATCTAAAACTAATGTCCTGGTATAACAAATCAAAATCTTGAACTTTTGAAAATAATAAAACACAAAGGATATATCAGTAATCACGCTAATTTAGACGATGTTATATTCACCATTTGAATATAAATAACCATGGTTATATATAACCTAACTTGTTTATCTTTAAAGGCACGCGTATAATACATTGCACGCAAGATTCCTTGACAATTAAGGAATCCTAGTTTATAAAACCTTCTGTCATTCAAATAATATTAAACCGTGTATTTCGCTGAAGCAAAGTACATGGTCAATGTCAATGACAACGTGCAACTCAATCAAGAGTATCAGCTATACATGTTGGTTATTATCTTAAAAAAGGAAATCAAATCCCTGTCTAATGGTTTTCAGGGAAGTCAAATGAATTTCACCAAAAGAGTTTGATTTATTCGTCATGAATTTGCCACCATCATGGCCACCATTTTGCAAGTTGTGCATTACGGTCATAATGATAAAAAACCTCTCTAAATATACTTGTTTATTTCAAAATGCACAACGTACCATAAAGCACTGGAATATGACACGACAAAGGTACACTAAAATCCATAGCTATATAATAAAGAGAATAAAACAAATGCTCAAATCTTACCAGTTACTATGATCACCTAGATACAAATCGCTGTTCAGCAAGGTTGTAGATGTAGGGCATGAGCTTTAGGAAACATATCGAGTATTTTCGCCGGCAACAAAAGCCAAAGGCAGCAATTAAAGACGTTAAACCCAGGGCCAAAACTATTCATAATACATTTACCAAGTTCTCTCATTCTAAGTTAATGGTAAAACCACAAAATTTCAAGATAGCTTTTGCCGATTATTCCACCAACGGCAACGTGCATTAGAAAACCTGAAAGCGCTAAATTTGCATAAGTAGATACATTCAACGCCTTGTGCCACTAATTATACGTCTGTGCTTTAAGAAGTCGTTTAACCTTTCTTTCCTTTAGAAAAACAATTTAAATTTCTATTGAAGCACCCCATACTCCATAGGCCTCATTGAATTATGCAACTTCATGAATATCTGATTTAAAGTTTACTGAGTAAGTTTGACTGATGCACACCGAAGCCCTTATGTACAGGGTGTCCCCCCTATTGAAATGAAGCTTTTGTTGGAATTTGAATGCATGATCAAAGCAGTAGTGTGTAAATAGCATAGTTATTAGGTTGAGGCATTCAAATAAAGCGTCCTGCTTTCAATTGGGTTTATCATAATATTACGGCAATCAAATTCTAACAAAGGCTTGATTTCAATAGAGGGGACTTTTTGGACACCCTGTAGTTATCAAATACAAAGTTACTCAGAAAGACCCTAACTTTAATTGATTTCAAATGAATCGCAGGTAGTCATCGCACATTATTTTGCAAGATATAAATTAATATAATAAACTTCTATATTCTATACAATTAATACAATATTTTACAATCTATGCATGTGCAGCACTGTGTTATGACATGGTCATATCGACAAAATTATAAAAATCATCTATATTTTTAGCTGACTTCTCTTTACTTCTTGATATAAACACAAGTTCAGATTTGTTTCTCCCTTCCAATAACGTGTCCAACAATTCATTGCAAGTCTTCACGCAGCCATCGCCGTTGATTTCTAAACCAATGACAGCACCTAAAACAAGCGGAGCGAATTACAAGAACTATAAGGAAAAACACAGACTATAATACGAGAACAGAGAAATAAGAAATATTACGAAATATAAAACGCAGAGGTATTAAGATGCAGAAGTAGACATTCGACAATCGTTGAAAGAGCATAGAAATAATATCATACAACTTTGTACATGGTCGTGGCTGCACATGGTTATGATTCATTATTGACTATATGTACCTTGTTGAATACTGCTTCCATCGTGTTCACTTCCAAACACCCTTTGGGCATCTTCAATGGTCATTTGAACCTCTTTGGTTTGAACCAGTTGATACGAGGTCTATGCGTTCATATGATGTTGTTAAAAGTAGTCCAATAAAACGAAGTATCAAAAAGCGAATGTTCGCTGACCAATAAAAGTGGAAGTAGTGAAGGCTCAGTATTGACAAAACTACTCACCCTATCTATAGAACTAGCAATATTAAACTTATGTACCAAAGGATATACTAATTATGAAATATCTTAGTACCTTCGTTTTAACTTCCCGCAAGTACGATTTTACATTGTTTCTTGCTTCTGGTCCTGGATAGAACACAACCAAACATGACTGAAAACAAAGCAGAGTCGTTTTTGAAAAACATCGCTTAAACGTTTTTTACTACTGAACAAGTAATTTAATAAATTATACAACTATAGAGAATACAACCCCATTTGATATCTTGAAAAACGGATTTACACTTCACTTTATTATTATGTTAAACAAGTTTTTCATGCAAGTAAAAATAGAGAGAATGGAAATATGTACAGATTTATGACTTTCTTGAATACCTCATCTGATTTTTTCCTTCTGCTACCCAAAGTCAAAGGAACAATGCTGGAATCCGAATCTGCTGAAACTTCTATCTCAGGAAAGGAATCAACAGGTGGTAATGGAACATAGTCTGAAACTTTCGCATTCTAGAGTTGAAAACATATTGTATTTGGTGTTCAAGCATTTGTCATATCGTCTTAGATATGAAAAGTATATACAGCACATTTTTTGAGAAATATTTAAACAAGTAAATCGGCTAAAGTTGGTCAAACAAATTTGAAATGTAAGCAAAACATTTGTTTACATTATGGACTGCACAAGCACATCACCTTTTGTGAACGGTTTTATATGTAGAAATGTAAGATGACAGTAATAGACTACGATGTAACATGTGATGGAAGACAAGGTTAACTGTGCCCAGGATAGATTACTAAGTACTTTAAACAATACCTCTGGTAAAAGTGACCATGTTTCAACGTCAGCAGCGGGCGTAAAGTCATGAATACTGCTCCAGTTATTGTTATAGAGACTGAGACCAGCTGCATCAAACTGATCTATATAAAAGCAAAAGATGGTTTGATGATGAAACACAACTTATAATAAACAATTACTTGTTGGTTTCTGTGTTTGGATGGCCTGATCCAAGAACGCAGGAATCTTGCGAGAGTTTAGAAAAGCGAGCCAAAAAACTCTTTTTTTGCGAGAGGTTTAACTCCAACCACATTCCCAAGTGTTTGGATCAGGCCATCCAAACACAGGAAACCATTAAGTAATTGTTTTATTTCCAAGTTTGATTTCTAAAAGCGAAATAAATTTCTGTGTTTAGATGGCCTTATTGAAATATGCATGTTATTTTATATATTATTTTACTTAACGTTTCATCATATATCCTACTATAAATTATCCATAAATCCATTTTACTCAATAGACATTCCCTACCTTCTAATTCAGGGTAGTTATATTGGAAACAAGCAAACTTCATGCCAGTTGAAGACTCTATGATAGGCTGAGTGTTACAGCACAGAAAGATATCCAGCCTTTTACAATCTCTCGTCCTAAAATATATTAAACAAAAAGTTGAAATAGTTACTTTGTAAAAATGTTACAAAACACAAATATTCTGTTCATTGTATAAGAATACAGTGTTCCTTACCTAAATTGCTGACAAGCTAGGACAAAACTGCAATCTTTGCAATCTCTAATGTAAACACTGAAAAATAAGAATGGAATTCAGTGGCAGTAATATGTAAATAAATATCTGGGGCTGGTTGTATGAAAACAGGATAGCGCTATCCACCAGATAGTGGTTTTTTCAATCGCTTCAAAATTGCCCGTTTTGTGGTATAACTTCGATTAAATCTTAGTATTAGGGACCCTCTTTAATAATTTTTCATCCCAAAGCTGAAATTTTATTGCTTTTCGAGCATTTTTAGAACAGTTGAAAAATTCACTATTCGGTGGATAGCGCTATCCAGCTTTCATACAACCGGCCCCTGCACACAAACACCCGAGTCACCCACATACCTGCCTTTACTGGGTCCAAGGAATATCTTACAATCCACACAATCATCAACAGTGACTGTAGCAGTGTGATCAAATATGTATATCTTACATCCCTGAATGAAAAAAAAGGAAATCGGGAGGTTATTTGCTATAAGAGAATTTTATCAGGAATTTTTACTTTTACATCACTTGTACAAATGTACAAATCAAGGGTTGAGTAACTTGAGTTAACTACTGACCTCACAATTTTGGATGATGTACTGTTGACCATTTAGTTTCCCAGGCAACTTTCCAACAGTCTCATCCTTTAGTTGTTCTGTGATGTAATCATTTGGATCAATATTGCCTCGTTTTTCCCTATAAAATGGTCGCTATGGTTTACCTATTGTGAAGGTAGCAATTGAATGACATTGCTTGTATGCATAGAGGCACTGCAACTATAGAATACTGCTAGGTTAATTAATTAACTATCAATTCAAGTAAGTTATTCATTCTCCAGAATAACATTTTATTCATGGACCAGCTTTTTCTTAGACCTAGTATATTTTCTTCTAAGCATTCCATATTAGTCATACTTGGGGTAATTTATGGGGACAGCTATAAGAATACAGTATTGCAAAGGAGTACTCATGAATACCAAACTTCATACATGTTCTACCTAATGTATTGGTAATTAGGTCAAGCATGTATGGTGTTTGGTAAGAGTACCTATTTGCCATGAAACCTATTAATACAAAGGTTGAGCAAAGATGAAATCTGCATCGGTGCCAATTTTGGCCATGCTGTGCCAACTGCCAAGAAATTAAATGTACATTGGGGGCTTTTATGCTCTGCAGCTATTTTATTTAACTGCAGTCGTACGAATCAATGTACACGGAGTTCGTCCTAATTTGATTACGCAGACATGAAAGTCGCTGGCCTGAATGTGTTTTCGACATGAACATCTGCCCACCTATGAAGAACCTATGAAATATATTTGTTTGCATTTGAAAGCTTTACAATCCAATCGTGGAAGTCCCAAGCTTGTGAATTTAACGTTTTTATGCTTTGTCTTTCACAGAACGAAACGATCTCAGAAGTTTATATCAGTTCTGCTATATTACAATCCAAATATACACATTGATATGCCATATCTCACACAAAATATCCAAATACTCAAATTAAAGCATTATTAACAATGCAATAAACATATTCACCGATACATACCAGCTATAAACTTTCGGTTTAGTTTCGGCATTGTCATTTTCTTGTTCAGATTTTGTTTCGGAAGATTGTAAACATCCCATCTTTGATCAATTTGTTGCCCTACAAGTTGTTGTGAAGTGATTATGGCGTCTTCCTCTTGGAAACCGAACAGCAGCCAGGGCGGCACAGCGAACCCAATACGTTTTACCACAAATTACCTATACTAATTGTATCACCGAGCTTTGCTAATAACTTTGCTTTACCAGGGAACTGTGGAGGACTTCCTTGCAGTAGTTAGTCCATAATTGCCTGACCACCATTGTGGCATACGATATAAATAATCTAAGATACCAAAAAAGGATATTCACATTCACAGTATTCTTGCTATCAAAATATTTTTACAGGCAAGTGTTGTGCTAAAGAACATCCTCATGCCTATTGATGACATTAATGAGCTACTGATGTCCACATTCATCCACAGAACGATCTTGTAAACGCTTCCGGGTGAAGATAATTCTTTTTGCCAGTATATACGAGTGTATTTATTATTCTAAAGAATGCACAAATGCAAGTACAAGAAGTCTTTGTTAACAAACACTGGCCTCTTTTAGTAAGGATTCACTGCATGTTTTAACAAAATCTTTTTAAATCATATACGTTTTGTGCAAATATGTCTTGCAGAAGATTAACATTTAACACGATAGCGAAAGTGAACTTCATGTTCGCCGCTTCACTACGTTCGTTTCTGTGTTTGGGAAAGAAATGTAAATAGCGTCGCAACGCTTTCACTTGGCACTGATTACACAGAATTACGTATCGATTCTTCGAAAATGCATACCAAACGAAGCGTTTCGTCACCAATACCTGCTCATATAGCTTTGCATTTGCGCGGTATAAAGTGCGTCCCTATACTTATTAAACTGCATTCATCCATACACCGATCCAGCAGCAAACCGTCGTTACAAGAGTGGTTACAAGAGGTTATTCTTTTTGCAAATATTGATTGGACTGCATTCACAACGATGAATTTTCTTTGCGCTTTGGGAAACCACCGTCAAATTGGGCGAATACTTTCGAACCAAAATATCAAACGTCTTCAAAAAGCAACAATACACCATGGACCTCTTGCCAGCGTTTTACTATATTCTCCAAGGAAGTTAGATTCACCTGGAAGGGTAGATTTATCGGGTCCTCCGCCAAAATTGAAAACCGACTTTCAAAATGTTTATGACTGGTTAAGTTCTACGACCCATTTCAATCTTAAAAAAACGATTGACTCCGCAGTGGTGACTCGAGAGAAGTTTCAAAACATTGTTCGTGTTGCGTTTAATACCCTACTCGATCCGAAATTCCGCAGTCAATCAGACCCGGAGACAGTGCTGTTTTACTATACTGGCCATGGCTTAAGGAAGTCAAAGCCAAGTGGAAAAGATGAGAATTCACTGCACACCAGCTCCCCCGGACCTCAGCTTAAGCTGGATGATGTTGGAATCTCCAGAGAGATGCTCGGGCCCGCAGCAGAATACATAAAGCCAGAACGACCTCTGAAAGGTGGTGAGTTTTACTTGCGCCAGTTTGGTTATTGTGACTTGGAAGGCCTTCTTGAGCTGTGGACTATAGCTTTGACAAAACAATCCACGAAGAAGAACAAGCATCTCATTGTAATAGCGGACAGTTGTTACTCTGGGATGTTTGTTGAAGATTTGAAGAAGTTGAAACGCAAAGCCGCGCCGTGGAACGAGAATGGTTGTACTGTGACAGTACAATCTGCTTCTAGAAGCGACGAAGCATTTTTCAAACCTGATTTCTCATCTTGCTTTGTTCACTTCAACAAACCCGAAAACCGTGAACATCTTCGAAATTTAAAAGAAAAGTGGATCGGAATGCGCGATGAACATAAAAGCGAGTTCAGAAAACGTTTCCGTACCCTCCCGTCACCCCAAGTAGCAACCACCATCCCACTAGACAAGTTGAACCCAAATGTAGATCGTCTAACGATGATGTTTCATGAGATTCCTGGCCAAGGCTTCCCGTTAACACTCTTTCGTGATGCCGAATTTTTTAAATTCTGTTGGCTTAATCCATTTGATCTTGCACGCTTGTAATGTCAGATTGGCCTAGCAATTAATATCCTTATTCCTTAATAGTTATCAAACTCGAGAAAAAGTGATAAGACCCATCATATTATACTTTAAAAACTATAAAGTATATTATTTTGAATCTTAAAATGCGACTTTTTAATATAATCCAGAAAACCAAATTATTCTCAAGTGTCATAAAACCCGGGTATATTATATTCTAAAAACTTGGCAGTATCAGTACTGTTTACTTACGGGATGCATTTAATGCATATTATTATAGATAATGTATGACGGTGGTAATCTTTTAATAACAATAAGAATAATTGTAAATGTTAATATTAATGGTATTAATATATCTGTGTTTTACAGTGTTTATAACAATGTATACAACACACGTGTTTTGCAGTGTAATAGTTTGGATTAACATTCGCGTTTAAGCGGAGTATGCGCAAATGATGCGCAGACGTTTTAAAATTGTGAAGTTTGTCTTCGTCTTCGTACTTCGTTGCCTTGCTCAAACTCCCTATTATAGCTCAGTGGTCGCAACCTATCAACCTCTTGCCCAGGGCCTGTCAATCTAAGCTAGTGATGGACAGAAATTGTTTTGACTTGGCGGAATTGATTCAAAAACTTGAGGTTTCCTAAAGGAACTGAACCCATTTATGAGTCGCCCTATGCCTACGTTTTCACTGAATTAAAATTATCAACAAACGAATTTTTGAGATTTCACTACGCCCGGACGATTTCTATATCTTGAAACATAGCCATCGGGAAAACGAGGATGCAAATGAAGAGGATGTTGCATGACGGGTTGGTTTAACTGTGGTTTAAGCCTTGCCACGGTTGTGCCACGTATACTTTTTTCTAAAATATTATTATTTCAGTTTTTAAACAAAAAATATTCAATAGTATTTAGCTGATTGAAAAAAGCAATGAAATGTTTGAGATAAAGAATGCATAACTTTCTATACACATAAGTATGGTCATTGTATTAAGTTTGTAAAGAAAAATTCTAGACGCAATTTAACACGGAAACACGTTTCAATGAACAGACTAACCACCAATGCACAAGCAATTTTGTATGACACATGCAGTTTAAGGACAAAATAAAGACACTCTCACACACCTGTCGAGACTAAGTCATAGGAATAAATTAAATAAAACGAAAGAGACCTCCCTTCCACATATATGCAAAACGAAATCTAATGGTTTACATTGATTACTAATGTAGTTTACAAGCACAAAGTGGCCATGCATGCATAGAAATGAGCACTGAGCAGGTTAGATATTACATCGACATCTAAAAGCCAAAAAAGCGTAAGAAATACATAACTTATTTTGAAAATACAAAAATCCAATTAGGTTTCAAACTGTTTTTAATTGTTTTCAATATTGCGATAAAGCTCCTGGTGGTCTACATATGTTATCATTTTTAGAATCATGCAACTTCGTTTTAGAAATTATAAATATTTAATGAATGTAACATTGCATGCGTAGTCTAAATTCTAGACGTTTTAAAAACGTTGTATAGCAGAACCTGTTTCGTATATCAAGGACAAGGATGTGCACCGAATAAAGTAAGTTAAATATTAATACAAGTTAAATTCTATTTTCTCTGACGTAAAATGTTTTTAATGTATTAACGACGTCAAACAAATAGGGCATACGTTTTTGTTTAAATGCAAAGAGATGTAATTGGAGTGGTTCAAGTTGCATAGTTTCAACATCCTTGAGACTATTGTCAAGCCAAGGTTTTCACCCAGCAACCGATAAAGCAAAAATCCTGATATCGTGAATATCGGTTGGGTGAACTCAAATTTATGTAACTTAGCATCAAATGTGGTATTTAACAACTGCCAAAATAGACAAAACACTTCTCGACGTTTCGAGCTGAGGGCCTTCGTCAGGAGAGTTAGTATGAGTTAGTACTAACTCTCCTGACGAAGGCCCTCAGGTCGAAACGTCGAGAAGTGTTTTGTCTATTTTGGCAGTTGTTAAATACCACATTTGATGCTAAGTTGTTTGAAGACTCGGAAGTTTGGTCACGCTGCTCCTTGGTTATATTGGATCAAATTTATGCATATATAAAGTCTGTTCACACCATCCAATTTTGTTGGATCCAATTCACTTCTGAGTTCTGACGTTATGAAATATAGTCGGTTATTGACAAAGCAGTAGTGCATTGGCTTCAGTGGATTGCTAAGACAACAGACTATAAAACATCCATCAGAGGTGAATTGGATCCAACAAAATTGGTTCGTGTGAACAAACCTTAAGATACACAATATGCATGTGTATCATTCCAAATTCCCATAATTATACTTTTAGTTTTATTGTCTATTTTGAACTTTTAAACCAACTAAACTAAAAATTAAACACTGACTGACTGACACACTTTTTAGGGCAGTCTTCCATGTTATTATTTGTCTCTAAATATATATGGTCAATTATAGATCTATGATTCATATAAACTTATAAATAATCTCAGTCTGAACAAAATCTCTCAACTCTGGCTTTGAGATTGGAATTTCATAAAATTATGATGATCGATATTTTATTTTAATTTTATACTTTTATTGTGTTTGTGATTAAGTTGCGGTTGCATTGCAATGACAAGTCAATTAATCATCCAAGGGTAATACTCGAGAGTACATAACGTTGTGGTGTTACATGTCATGCGGCATGAAGTACATCATGGAAACATTTAAACATTTTCTCGATTGCAATGCCGATTCTTCTTGCTTCTTTGTTAAAATACAATCGCTCCTAAACATGGCGAAACCACAACTCAAATTAACTTATAATCAACTACCATCACGCATTGCGCGCTTAAAAGCTATTGAAATGCAGTGTTTGGTTGTGGAACCGCAAGTTGAACAACCGCAAATTTTCTTTTAAAAATACTAAAAATATTAATGGATGGCTGTAAATGTTTTTTCCTTTTCAACTTTACAACAACGTAATTTAACGTTTCATTTCAGGACTCATCTCCATATAGTCATATACTGACCAGTGATTATTAAGTACGAGACATTCAAAGATCATCATCATTCAGCATAACAACAGGTGAATAGAAACTTGCATAATAACAGGTGAATAGAAACTTGCATAACAACAGGTGAATAGAAAGTTGAAAGAGAATTTACCTGCACCCATTATCAACACATCAAAATGAAAGGCGTTTTATCACTATCATAATATCACTGAACAATCGTGAAATTTACACACAAGTCCCCATTATTTACATGGGGACTCGCTTACAAAGGAAACACTCGCAATTATTATTATGAAATACAATAGCCATGCAAACAGGTTACAACTTTAGAAATCGTAAATATTTAATTTTCATTGCGCAGTCTAAATTACGTATTTCATAAAAACTCACTCACAAAGAAGCTTATTTGAAATCATTGATTTGTTCTGAACAAGGTAAGCTAAGGCAGGTTGTATTTGCTAAATTTTACAATAAATTAATATTAAGATATAACAAGACGCCCGGCAGGCGTTAACTCGGGCTCAATAAATACACTGCACTGAAACTGAGCTATATTGATACACTGTATTGTCTGTAAATACGCGATTGTCTGCGCGGAAGACTAAGCCTGCGACACGAAAAAAATAATATTCGCGAAACCTAGACTCGGCTACCACAGTAGCCCGAGTAAAAATAAATATCAAATTAATTTTATTTGCTTAAATGCGATTTTTAATAAATTTTTTTGCATGAAACATTTCTTCTGACAAATTGATGAGGAATGACTCAGTTTTAAGAACACTTGTTGCCATGGTTATTAAGATAATTACCCCCAGCAGCTATAACAATGGGGTTGCGCTAAAAATGATTACAAAGCCATTTTAGGTGATAATTGTTCAAAATTGATGAAAATAGATACTGTTATATCAGATCAATGCTGTGAACTAGGATCTTTTAAAAATATTGAGTTTTAGCTACTTTTTTAAGAACAAAAACATGTTACATGTATTTTCCATCCGTTTTTTCTCCTACAAACAGTGATTGTGCCTAGTTCATTCAACATATCCAAAAGATCCTAGTTCACAGGATAGATACATAACACATATTCACAGAAAATTTCAAGTCAATTGGTCCATTATTTTAGGAGATATCATTTTTTCCGTATGGCTATTTGGGTAGAAATTCAAAATTGCATCAATTAACTTTAAAGTTTTGCACGTTGAGAACCAGTAAGAAAGTACATTTAATCTTCACTGATGAGCCTAAAATTCTCCACAGGCATATGTTGGTCCTTCTGTTGCTTCTGCTTGTCTCCCTTGGACTTTCTTTTTGCTCTAACCAGTCTTCTTCTGTTCTTCACCTTCCCTGCTGATTTTCTCTCAGCGCCTTTTACGTGTTGCTGATCAGCCAAGGAGCACCTTGTTGAACACCAGTCACCACTACTAATACCCATCTTCTTAAGTGTCTTGATAGAAGCACTAGCACCAATGTTGAAGTGGGAAACAGCATCATAAACACCCAAATGCAGCACATCAGAACCAACAAACACCTGCTTTGGCAAACGATTCCACACCATGCCATTGAATGATTCATTTTGGTTCTGTGTTTTGCAGTCAAGGCACTTTGATAATAACTCATTATCACTTAACCTAGCATATATTGGCTTCATTGCTGTCACAACAGAGATGGGTAAGCTTTTACCATGCTTATATTCATTTGTCCCTGTTGCTTTGTCTCTCATAAAGCCACACCAGCTATCTTCACCAGCTGGGCAGTAGGCAGTGTGCCACTTGTTGTTTTCTGACGAGGCACAGTGGAATAAGCTAGCCAATATTGCCTTCTTCATTGCATCCAGGTTTCCAGGGTTGCTTCTAATTGCTATTCCATAATAGTTTTGAAGCTTGTCTATCATCTTGTCAGTTAGCTTACCCTTTCCACCCATGCCTTTATTCTCTTTGCGAAATTTCCGAAGAGCCGTACCGACCCTTTTTTGCACGTGGCCAACACACTCTTTTTTTGCCACCTTCACACCATCATCACCACTGAGGTACACATCTTTGACAACACCATGGCTCTTGCTGTCCCATCACCAAAATACTCTGTGTACCGCAGCTTCTTCTCCTTCACAGAACGTTGAAAAATTCTAACAACTCCTTCTGGTTCCATCGCTGGTGCTGATCCTTCAAAATTAACTTTACACTTTGTCTTGTGGTCAATTTCCCGAGCATTGTTCTTTGGTGTGTCATCATCCTCCTCATGCTTCTTACATTGCTTGCAAAATCTACAGAGCACTTCAACATCGACAACTTTTCCTGTGTCCATGGAGATCGCAGTGACACAACCATTTAGAGATGCATATCCTCGTCTCTGCCAGCTACCATCACATGATACGCCGCAGTCAGCAACATCACCTTCAGGCTTATTCTTTAAAACATGTATCTCATTGGCAGCTTCACTCATCTTTAAATAGTTCACATGCATGAACATATAGTCTTTAGTCATATGAATATATAGCAAGTATTAGAATTGTATCCATGCAGTAGTTAAGAATTCACTGAAGTATAGAAAGAATTTGTCAATTCCAAGAATTTATAATTACTTTACACAAAAGCGAAACTCGATGTTTTACTGGCTCCACGTGTTTGTGCTTGGAACAACATTCAAATTGTAAAAAGAAACCCAACGTCCTCAATAAACACTGATAGATAGAAATGATTCCCGATTGGTCGAAAACGCTCGCTAAACGCATACGAAACGAACAGATTTACCACCTACTGCTCGGTTTTGCAATTGCTTTGATATAAAGTTCGTCCAAACGCATATTCAACCACATTGATCAGTAGACCGATCTTTTAGGTACAACAAGAGTCGCTTTTCAAGATAAACGTAATTCTTAAGCAAGAAAAAGACTGTATTCTGAACAATGAAATTTCTGCGTGCTTTTGGAAACCCACTGCGTCAAATTGGGCGAATACTTTCGACGCAAAACATCAAACATCTTCACCAAACCTGGTTGCACCAGCGTCCTGCAAGCGTCATACTATATTCTCCCAAGAAATTGGATCCTTCAGTTTATAAGTGCATTTCTTCGTTGGATTTCAAGCCGGTTTATGACTTGCTGAAGCATTCGGAGTGTTTCGATCTTAAGGAGGTGATCAATTCCGCAGATGTGTGGATAACTCCAGAGAAGTTTGAAACAATTGTCGATGTGGCGTTTAACATCTTGCTCGATCCATTCCGCAGTCAATCAGATTCGGAGCCAGAAACGGTGCTGTTTTATTACACTGGCCACGGTCTTACAATTAAACAAGCGTCCATGATGAGACAAAAGTTTGACTACTTCTCTTCCCCTGATCTCGATTCCGTTGGAATTTCCAAGGAGATTCTTAAACCCGCGGCAAGATATATAAAGCCAGAACGACCTCTAAAAGGTGGTGAATTTTGTTTGCACAAATTTGGTTATTGTGACTTGGAAGGCCTTCTTGAGCTGTGGACTATAGCTTTGACAAAACAATCCACGAAGAAGAACAAGCATCTCGTAGTTATAGCGGACAGTTGTAACTCCGGGATGTTGGTTAAAGATTTACAAAAGTTGGCACGCACACCAGCACCGTGGAATCAGAACGGTTGTACTGTGACAGTACAATCTGCTTCTAGAAGCGACGAGACGAGTGTAAAGGCTCTTTTCTCACCTTGTTTTGTCCACTTTAACAAACCGGAAAACCGTAAACGTCTTCGAGATTTAGAAAAAAAGTGGAACGGAATGCGCGATGAAAAGAAAAACAAGATGAGAAAAAAATTATATGGCCTACGGTCACCCCAAATAGCAACAACCATCCCACTAGACAAGTTGAACTCAAATGTAGATCGTTTAACGATGGAGTTCCGTCATTTTCCTGGTCAAGGCTTCCCGTTAACCCTCTTTCCTGATGCCGATTTTTTTAACTTCTGTTTATATAGTTTGGCACCTTGTGTTGTTTCCTGCATCGCCAAAATAGCCTGCCGATATCCTTAATGGTAATAAACTCGAGGAAAAGTCATACAAGACTAGTTAAAATCTAAAATGTGTCATATAATCTGCTGTACAATAATACCACATTTAATGTAATTTATAATATAGATATTAATAACAGTATAGGAATAAACTTCAATATATCTGATGTAATCGATGTAATTGAATATTGTAAAATTCATGAACACATGTGATGAGTGTACTCTGCATGTGTTTTTAGCAATCAACGCGCCATAAATGAATAAACTTCTTTAATGCAGGAAAAACTGAATATAAACGTTTTGTTAGGCTATATACGGAGTACTTTTCTACTATTAATTGGCAAATGCCCTTTCTCACACTATTTAAAACTTTAAATGCACGCATATGATAAATCATCGATGTCTTGCAATTGATCTGTTATATTTCACGCCATATCTTTGTAACAACAGTTGCACCAATCCTCGCGCTATATTATTAAGCTTTTAGAAGCGAAATTATATGAAAAATATTGTAGTCGTAGCTTATCTAAAGTTTCCTACACGCTTGCCCCAACAACAACAACAACCTTCCGTGGGGCATTTTTACCGCTTAATCAGTAATTACTTAATTTTAAAAAAGAGAGGATGAAAGAGAAAATATTAAATTGCACGGTTGAAGTGGAAAACAGGCCTTAGTTCACATGCATGCGAACAAGGTTTGTATAAAATTTGAAATAATAGGTTTAATGTAATATAGATCTTTTTCATATAAATATACAGCAAATATAGAATTGTATTCAGTATAGTTAAGAATTCACACAGAAATTTATCCAAAAAAGTACCCATGAATTTAATTACTCTTTCGAAAAAGCCTTTCTATAAAGAGGGAAATTACCCCCAGAAAATTTTAATTTTCTATAATTTATGATGTCTGGTTTTGTTTTGCCTTTTATATGTTAAAGAGAACTTGCCTGGTGCACAAAATTAATGAATTTACGAAAAATTTACACGAAAGCGAAACTCATTAATTGTTTTATTTGCTCTTCAGGTTTGTGTTTGGGAAAACATTCATTTTGTAAAGAGCGTCCCAACGCTCTCAATAAGCGTTGATTACACAGAAATTATTCGGATTCGTGGAAAACGCTGACTATATACATACATGGTACGAAACGAACAGATTTGGCACCTATAATATATTGCTCAGGCTTTGATAGAAAGCGCTTCCCAACGTCTATTCAACCACATTAATCAGTAGACCGATCTTTTAGGTAAAGACTAAGAGAGTCGTTTTCAAGATAAACGTAATTCTTAAGCAAGAAAAAGACCGTATTCTGAACAATGAATTTTCTGCATGCTTTTCGAAACCCACCGCGTCAAATTGGGCAAATACTTTCGATGCAAAACATCAAAGATCTTGACCCCCGCCGCTGGTTGCCCCAGCGTCCTGCAAGCGTCATACTATATTCTCCCTTGGATCTTCCAGTTTGTCAGTCCAATTCTTCTTCGAATTTCAAGGCGGTTTATGACTGGCTGAAGCATTCGGAGTGTTTCAGTCTTAAGAATGCGGTTGATTACACAGATGAACGGATGACTCAAGAGAAGTCTAAAACAATTGTCGATGTGGCGTTTAACACTTTGCTCGATTCATTACGCCGTCAGATTAGTCTAGCAATATCCTTAATGGTTATCAAACTCGATAAAAAGGTAATAAGATCCGGTATATTATATTCTAAAAACTTGGCATTATACTGTTTACTTACGGGATTTAATGCAATTTATTATAGATAATGTATGACGCTGGTAATCTTTTAATAACAATAAGAATAATTGTAAATGTTAATGTTAATGGTATTAATTCATTTGTGTTTTACAGTGTTTATAACACTTTATAATATAAGTATGATATAACGAGCAATTTGATTGGCTACCGCGCGTGCATTGTGAGGCCATAATGCACGCTTCTGGCTTTTGAAATTTTCCCGCCTCTTGCTGAAAGTAAACAAATTATAAATTCAATATTTAAAGAACATCTTAAATAACATGTAAGGAGAATTTCATTATTGATCAAATAAGTAAATTTTGTTGTTGCCCTATAATTTCTTCTTATATTACAAAAGAATTACAGTATACATTTATATAACCTACCGTCCCCCAAAGTTGAACTCAAATAATAGATCTAGATCATTAACGTTGGAGATCCTTCAATTTCCTGGCAAACACATAAGGAAATAAAATGAAAACCTAGAACCTAACTCTCGGTTTGGGCAATTAATCAGTTGCAAGCTTCTCCCTTATTCTCCCAACATTCCCCCATCGTGCATTATTACACCATAAAGGCACGCGACTCGTTTTTTAATTCTTAAATAAACAAATACAACACACATGTTTTGCAGTGTAATAGTTGGGATTAACATTCGAGTTTCAGTGAAAGGTTAAGATTATGGATAAAGATTGGATTTGGGTTTAGGATTAGATTATAATATGTATAAAAGAGTTATAATTCGGATAATTCTGTCTATACATAGGACCAGATTTGCTACGTAATTTCTTTGGCCGCATCTGTTATTAAACAAAGAAATGAAGTGAAAATTAAAAACCTAACTCGTCATTTGGGCGATCAACCATCAATCCGAATCCTAGTTTACCATAAAATGATGTAACAATTGATCGCTCTAATTGATTACCCATAATCCCGGTCTTTCGCGCAAGGAATATAAGAAGCGTGATGTCATAATACCCTTTGTCATAATTGATTGACTGAACACTGCGCACGTTTAATTCGTTACGTTTTCCGTGCGAAATTCAAATTTTCCTGAATTGTTTCTTGCGAGATGGTAAGTGATAAAACAATCGTGGCTGGAACCCAGAACGAAGATGAATCAGTGCATTGCGATAACACCGAGAGTGAAGAAGACTTTGCTGAAGTTTTAGTTTACGATTTAGAATAATTGAGTATTTATGGCGATGCAAAAACTCTTCACAAAAAGGCCTTTTCTAGCCTTTATCACCACTTTTTTTACTCTTTTCATGTTGAAGTATCTAGTTTTTATACGATCAAAAATTCGGAAAGAGCCACTTTAAAGACAGTAAAGTTGCAATTGTATATTTAACTGGAAATAAATATTCGAAAATGTCACAATACTAAGAATTCAGTCATTTGGCCTTTGACATGCATTCGGCTGTCATAACAAAACTGCTCTCCGTGCACGTATTTTTTTTATCAATTTTAAAACACCTGTTGAAAGTTTTCTCACCCTTTTTATATCGCAGTTAATTTATTTACAAAAGCAGTTTGTTTATTATTCACGCTTCGTGGAGGTCTGATTCGGTACCCAAGCAGCGTTCATGATCCGCCATGTTTGGCTTTACACTTTGAACTGAAGCGAGCCTTTCATATATATAGAGTTCACTGGACATAACATCCTTATCACAACAGTTGCACCAATCCATCGCCATGTACTTTGAAAAGCTAGAGGCGAAAATTATATGAGAAATATCGTGGTCGTAGCGAATCTAAAGTTCCCTATAAACAGGCTAGCCCCAACCTTTCCGTGGGGCACTTTACCAGTTAGTCAGTAATTAAATGATTTTTAAAAAAAGAGGATAAAGTGAGAATATCAAAGTTGCCTGGGAATATAGAAACTAAAGAAAAATATGTAAAAAAATCATACCACATGCACATTTTAAACATGCTGCTGGTTAAGAATTCAAAGAAGTATATAATTGTCAGTCAGTCCAAGAATTTAATTACTTTTTCGAAATATTTACACGAAAGCGAAACTCGATGTTTCACTGGCTCCATAAACATGCAAATTGTAAAGAGAAACCCAACGCTCTCAATAAACACTAATACATAGAAATGATTCCCGATTCGTCGAAAACGCTGGCTAAAAACGGAAGCGAACAGATTTGCCACCAGTAGCTCGGTTTTGCATTTGCTTTGATATAAAGTGCGTCCAAACGCTTATTCAACCACATTCACCCGTAAACCGATCTTTCAAATGCTACAAGAGTCACTTTTCAAGATAAACGTAATTCTTAAGTGAGAAAAAGACCGTATTCTGAACAATGCAATTTCTGCGTTCTTTTGGAAACCCACCGCGTCAAATTGGGCGAATACTTTCGACAAGAAACATCAAACATCTTCACCAAACCTGGTTGCACCAGCGTCCTGGAAGCGTCATACTATATTCTCCGCAAAAATTGGATCTTTCAGTTTCTCAGTGCATCTCTTCGTTGGATTTCAAGCCGGTTTATGACTGGCTGAAGCATTCGGAGTGTTTCGATCTTAAGAAAGCGATTAATTCCGCAGATGAGTGGATAACTCCAGAGAAGTTTGAAACAATTGTCGATGTGGCGTTTAACACTTTGCTCGATCCATTCCGCAGTCAATCAGATTCGGACCCACAAACGGTGCTGTTTTATTACACTGGCCATGGTCTTACAATTGAACAAGCGTCCGTGATGAGACAAAAGTTTGACTGCTTGTCTTCCCCTGATCTTCATTCCGTTGGAATTTCCAAGGAGATTCTTAAGCCCGCATCAAGGCATATAAAGCCAGAACGACCTGTAAAAGGTGGCGAGTTTTGCTTGCACCAATTTCGTTATTGTGACTTGGAAGGCCTTCTTGAGCTGTGGACTATAGCTTTGACAAGACAATCCACAAAGAAGAACAAGCATCTCGTTGTAATAGCGGACAGTTGTTACTCCGGGATGTTGGTTAAAGATTTGAAGAAGTTGGCACGCACACCAGCACCGTGGAATCAGAACGGTTGTACTGTGACAGTACAATCTGCTTGCAGAAGTGACGAGACGAGTTTGAAAACTCTTTTTTCACCTTGTTTTGCCTACTTCAACAAACCGGAAAACCGTAAACGTCTTCGAGATTTAGAAAAAAAGTGGAACGGAATGCGCGATGAAGATAAAAGCATAATAAGAAAAAAATTACATGGCCTGCGGTCACCCCAAGTAGCAACAACCATCCCATTAGACAAGTGGAACTCAAATGTGGATCGTTTAACGATGGAGTTCCGTCAATTTCCTGGCCAAGGCTTCCCGTTAACCCTCTTTCCTGATGCCGATTTTTTTAACTTCTGTTTATATAGTTTGGGACCTTGTGTTCTTTCCTGCATCACCAAAATAGCCCGCCGATATCCTTAATGGTAATAAACTCGAGGAAAAGTCATACAAAACTAGTTAAAATTCAAAATGTGTCATATAATCTGGTGTACAATAATACCACATTTAATGCAATTTATGATATTAATAACAGTATAGGAATAAACTTCAATGTATCTGATGTAATCGATGTAATTGCATATTGTAAAATTCATGAATAATTATTCCTTTTAAGAATGAAATTATAAAACATGTAATGAGTGTACTCTGCATGTGCTTTTAGCAATCAACGCGCCATAAATGAACAAACTTCTTTAATGAAGGAAAAACTGAATATAAACGTCTTGTTAGGTTATATATACGGAGTGCTTTTCGACTACTGATTAATTGGCAAATGCCCTTTCTCACACTGTTTAAAACTTTAAATGCACGCATATGATAAATGATCGGCGTCTTGCAATTGATCTGTTATATTTCACGCCATATCTTTGTAAGAACAGTTGCACCAATCCTCGCGCTGTATTATTAAGCTTTTAGAAGCGATCGAATAATGTATGAAAAATATTGTAGTCGTAGCTTATCTAAAGTTTCCTACACGCTAGCTCCAACAACAACAACAACTTTCCGTGGGGCGTTTTTACCTTTTAATCAGTAATTACTTAATATTAAAAAAGAGAGGATGAAAGAGAGAATATAAAATTGCACGGTTGAAGTGGAAAACAGGCCTTAGTTCACATGCATGCGAACAATGTAATCTAGATCTTTTTCATATAAATATACAGCTAATATAGAATTGTATTCAGTATAGTTAAGAATTCACACAAGTATATAAAATTTATTCAAAAAGTATCCATGAATTTAATTACTCTTTCGAAAAAGCCTTTCTATAAAGAGGGAAATTAATGAGAATTTTAATTTTCTATAAATATGATGTCTGGTTTTGTTTTGCCTTTATATGTTAACGAGAACTTGCCTGGTGCCCAAAATTAATGAAGTTACGAAAAATTTACACGAAAGCGAAACTCAATGTTTTATTGGCCCTTCGGGTTTGTGTTTGGGAAAACATTCATTTTGTAAAGAGCGTCCCAACGCTCTCAATAAACCTTGATTACACAGAAATGACTCCGATTCGTGGAAACAATTGTCGATGTGGCCACGTGATTGTGTTTGGGAAAACATTCAAATTGTAAAGAGAAACCCCACGTTTTCAATAAACACTGATAAATAGAAATGACTCCCGATTGGTCGAAAACGCTGGCTAAATGCATACGAAACGACCAGGTTTGCCACCAGTAGCTCGGTTTTTGCATTTGCTTTGATATAAAGTGCGTCCAAACGCTTATTCAACCACATTCATCCGTAGACCGATCTTTGAAATGCTACAAGAGTCGCTTTTCAAGATAAAAGTAATTCTTAAGCAAGAAAAAGACCGTATTCTGAACAATGAAATTTTTGCGTGCTTTTGGAAACTCACCGCGTCAAATCGGGCGAATACTTTCGACGCGAAACATCAAACATCTTCACAAAACCTGGTTGCCCCAGCGTCCTACAAACGTCATACTATATTCTCCCTTGGATTTTCCAGTTTGTCAGTCCAATTCTTCTTCGAATTTCAAGGTGGTTTATGACTGGCTGAAGCATTCGGAGTGTTTCAATCTTAAAAATGCGGTTAATTACACAGATGAACGGATAACTCAAGAGAAGTCTAAAACAATTGTCGATATGGCGTTTAACACTTTGCTCGATTTATTCCGCCGTCAGATTAGTATAGCAATATCCTTAATGGTTATCAAACTCGATAAAAAGGTAAT